GTCGAGATCAGTTGCACGTTTTAAACTTTTTAAATTTACCTAAAACCACCAAAATCGTAAAAAATTGTGTTCTCTAACATCCCGCTAAACTCGCTGCATACAATCCGCATAATATATGATTAATCAAAGACCAAAAAAACATCAGTGATCAAACAATATTGAACAATAGGAACGCTACAATTACATCCTGGATGTTCCCGACAAGATTCCAGGGAACATCATTAAACAGATTATTTTGATTGACATCGAGAATCTGTTTAGAATACTGTTTCTGGCATGCAGTTGCGCTGCTATCATGAAGCGTATTTTACATTTCATCAGTTTATTGAAAAGTCATAATAATTTTAATGATTAGTCCGCATATTATTTTTCACTCATTTTTTCAGTCTTCTTTCATCAACCCTTTGTTTTTAACATTTCTGATGTAATTAGAGCAAATCAGCATGCATTCAGGTCAGGGACCAGAGTTTCAAAGCACTGCACGGATTCATCGAAAAATTGGAAAAGGCTAGTGAAAATCCAGAACTGATCGCAGAACTTGAGGCACAAGTAAAAGCTGGTGGAAAAAGTGGTTTGCTGAGCAGTGACAAGGTCATTTCTTAGTAATGCTTACTGTTTTGATTATTTCTGATGAACGAAATGGTGGAAACGCTTTACTGTACCAAACAGTACAATTTATTCATTTTTTTGTCCCGAAGAATATCACTTCATTAGCTTCTTAATACATGTATCAATATATTTCAGGTACCGCAATGGGCAAGTTGGGCATTAAAATCGCTTTCAGGCAAATTCTATAAATACTCCCCCTCAGTACAAAATTTATCTGGACCAACATGTAAAAAAGAGACTTCTGTTTGCGAACCAACATCTATCACAAGTACATATGAATTAAAATCGTATGATAAATCAGCAACAAAGCTTGCAAACGATGGTTGGAGTGAACTGGAAGATAGTTTATCTGTAGAAAATGAAGAATGGGAAGATGCTAATGATGCACTGACAACAGGTACCACAAGCACGAACGAAGGATGGGATAACGAGCAGGAAGGAGTAAGTGTTGACTTGATTTAATTTGATAATTTGAAACCAAGTTCATGAGCAATGTATTTGGCAATCAGTTATTATCTACATCGCACTCATAAGCTTTGCATTTAGGAAATTTAGTGCTCAGTACTAAACTTAGTATATAATCGTAACTTCTAGTACTTATTTGGTACTTAGTATTATTTAGTACTTATTTAGTATTTTGGCTCTGGCAGGATCTGATTTAGGGAAAAGATGATTTTATACTATAAGGTACCATAAAGGTAGGTACCATAAGAGGGTCTCCCGACATCAGTTTGTTACGATGACTACTTTGGCACGTTGGAGAAACGATGCGTTTATATGATTATTTATATGAGTAAACTGACAAAAATATTAAGCTTTTACTACCAATCAGAACACCAATATGAAGCGGAAATATATGAATTTTGAAAACTTTGCTATCATAGATTGGCGCGTTGCTATTGAAATAAAGTAAATATATGAATTTTGCAATAATGAAAAATTTAACAAGTTTTATGTGAGGCTAAGGGTCAGTCAAGTACTCATTACGATAGGAAAAATGCGATGAAGAAATTATTACCGTTCTGTTTAATGGTTTCTCACCACCTTATATTGAAAGTAGAAAATATTGGGTTTTTTTTTAGCTCTTATTACAGTGGTTCAACTTGATAAAAAGTTTTTATTGAAATCATTTCTTCAGCTCTGTTATTTCACCTTCTTTATAGGTAGCAACTGCTAAAAGTAAAATATCAATTTCGGCATCATCGAATCCTCTCAGGAAATCATCGGGAATAGGCGGATTGAAATTGCAACGCGCTGTTATAAAGCCTACTGGTCTTTTTTTATTTAAAATGGTTCAAAAGAGTAGCAAGAAACAGATTTTAGAAAATAACATTAGTAATAGTAATTAGCACAGTGCAATATATATACACAGATAGATCATTCCAAGGTGCATATAAGTTAATCAAATTGAAATCGAGGGCTTATTCAGTCATGTCATTCAAGTTGTGTCCAAGTAATTTAAGATGAAGTGGAAATCGTTTTAGTTTTTTATATGGGTTAAAAATTAAAAATGTTAGAACGACTATGTTTTTGTAGTTGAAGATGATTTGGATTATTTGTTGGGTATTAAGCCCAAGTCGAACACAGTTGATCGATTAGGTGGTAGTGAAGTTGCGAATAGAAATACATTTACTGTAAAGAATAGCAGCAATACATTGACATATGGTTGGGATGACAATTCAACTACAGGCGACTGGGATAATTTCGATGTCAGTTCAGGTTCATTATTAATGTCTTGAATTGCTTTTCGAATAGTAACGAAACATTGAGTTTTTTTATGCTTTTGGGAAAAATGAGAATTTGGAGGATTGGAAAAGTTACTGTTTTTGTCAAACTTCTAAAGTTTGTTGAAATAACATTCTCTGCTCGCTTTCTTATGGTTTCAGATGGGACATGTGCTCAAGTAGTCGAAGATCGGAAATGGAATATTTCATGGAATACCGATGAACCTATCGAGAGTAAGTTTAAGTCTTCATATTTTCAAGTTTATTTGCTGAAATTTTCGTCTCACTGAACAATTTTCCGTTTCGTTTTTGAAACATCTTGAACCTCCTTCACTCATGTAGCAGATTATTCTACATGTTTTAAATTGCAGTAGTCGACATTTGTCGGGAAATGTTAATGGAGTTTGGAATTAAATGGTGGTACATTATCCTATTATTCAACATTTCTATAACGTACAGTATTCCAAATTGATCATGCCTGCAGATTGGACCTCGTAGAAATTAAATACTATTTCCCTATCGTCATTTGTATTTTAATAACAAGGATAGTAATATCACTACCGTAGAGAGTAACGCCATAACTAAGAAGTTTGGCAAACATTAATAGACGGGACAGACGACAGCTTCCCAAGTGGGAGTGATCTCTTAGCTACTGTTGTATATTTCAGTATCGTAATTATCAGTATGTTGTTTCACATGCAAATATATTGCTCATTCAGCTTCATCGGTAATGGAAAGTAAAGAAAATCGTCGAGCAAAGGTCACAGCACGGAACGAAGCTCGTCGTATGGAAATGGCTAGAAAAAGAACTACTCGAGGTACTGGAGTACTCGACTAATGTCCGATAGTGATGGAAGCGTGTATTGATTATCTCAAGTTCATTATGTTAACTGTCATGAGCACGTTGTAGTAGGAAACTCTTCATTTAAGGAAGCTAAATGAATTAGAATTGTGAAGTGTTCTTTTTTCACGAAAGCATCTCCCTCATACGTTTGCTATGCACATGTTTCGTAGAGTTAGGTCAGAAGTTGCAGCAATTTCTCAAGAGAAGCTGGATTTAAGCTGAAAGAAGCTGAAAAAAATTTAAGCCGAGAGAAGCTGAATTTTGGCTTAAGGTTCAAATAGTTTTGATTGGGAAATTTGAATTTTTTCCTACTTATCAAACAACTATTTTATTTCTGCAATTGTTTCATCCATTCCACTTTCTACTGAATACTTTTAAAAATGTGATAAAGGCATTTTAATCGACGTGTTTACGCTTTTATATTGTATTTATTATAAATAAAACTGTCATAAAGAAAAGTGGTACCATTACTTTTCTTCGAATTTGGTTTAAATTTCTGTAGAAAAAGCATATCGTTCGCTTCCAGGTTCCTCTTCAGTATTGTATTTAATTGTTTTTACACACTTTGGGATATGATTACAAAATTATAAGTTGGTTGATGTACTAAAATTGATAATTTGCGCTACTTGATCACTTGGACCTGGAAATGTTCGGACTGTCAAAATGAAAAAAAGGTGACATTTTCAGAAGTGATTAGCAAACGCAAGGTAGCAAACGCAATGTAGATTTCTTAAAAAATATATCCTGCGGCGAAAGCTAAGATTGATACTTATATAAGTTTGAATGCTAGGATTGTTAAAGTTTGTTGGCAAATAGTCAACCCATAAATATTCGATAAATAGCCAGGATTCTGAATAACCAGATAAAGTCGTGAAAAAAGTATTCATTGAATATAAAATGCGTTTTCTAATTATTGCGTTGAAAACGAGGCTGAAAGAGTAACTGATATGAAAAATAACTTCCCGAGTTGTCCACACGATTTCGTCGGATTTAAGAAAGTTAAATGAAAGCTAAGGTTAAGGCCATTTATGCTCCAGCTGAAGTATAAATAGTTTCTCAAGCTATTTTGTCTTTTGCCGAAGTCAACTTTGAAAGAGCTGGCCTAATTGTCCGGAAAGTTTGCGGTAGAAATTTGTCTTGTTATATTCTGATATATCAAAAAAAGTTTGTTACCTATCAGTTTACTTATCACTCCTTCGCTTCCTCTAGCAAGAAAACTGTTCGCAAGTCTAAATTTATCAATGTGCCCAGACCTGACCTTATGAATTAAGCTCACACACTATTTCAGAATAAGTATTAGCAAACAACAGGTTTAAATTTAAAAAATGTGCGTATAGAAGATTTAATGAATTTGAAACTTTAAACGTGTCCGGTCACGTAAGTCTTGTCCAAGCAATATGAAACTTATTGTTGTCGTGATATTCACAATGCTAAAACTTATGCATAAATTTTAATAAATAGATATAAATTCAGTTCCTCCAGTCAAAAGCTATTCTTACTAATTGGTTGCTAGCCGGATGGCGTGCCCGCGTGAGCTGTACTATTCTCTTACTCTTCTTTCTACGGTTTGTTTGCGGCATGAACGGAATGAATTCGTGTGTGGGGCATTAATTAGTTGCATAGGACTCAGGAGAGAGTCATTCCGGATTCTTAACTTATCCTGATATCCATCGATGACGTCATCTTCGTTCATTAGTTTTTGATTAGAAGAACTGATGTAGGATTATCAGACAGGACTACTGGTTATTAGTTTTCGTTAATATTATCGTTAACCTCTGCTTTCTTCTCCCACTAAATTACGAGGTACAGAAAACGATATTGATGCTCCTTAATTGACGACAGGTTGAGATTCACTGAACCTATTCTGACGGGCTTCGAGGTGCATCGTATAGAAATCCTCTGATCAGAATTTGAATAGATCAATCAAGGGTTCCTGCAACTTGATGCTGATCACTAATTATTGATGTGTCATAGTGGAAGTTGTAATTAAGCTTAGCTTAGTGGTAATCCTAACTCCAGGCCGTCATTACCCATTGTAATGTGAATCGGCAGAAGGTATTGGCCAGCCTTTCAGATCTAGCATTGTTAATATTTCGTTGTAATTGAAAGTTATTTGTTGATTATAGTTGTTGACTTTCGTAGCAGTAACGTTGATCATGTCCCGTTACGTATGGACAAGTAATACCAAACTGATCGTTGCATTTTCATTTACCTTTATTGCACTCATCTTTCAAATTCTCAATTTGATCTGTGAAACATTCAAATGTTTACGCACTCGAATCGCACCAATTTTCGTATGTTTACTGTGACCAAATCTTTTTATCTTTTGAACACGTTTTACGTATCCGGAAAAATCTTGAACAGTACTTGTATTTCATAAATTTTACTGTTATTTGACGCAATTAAAATTCTCACATTTGCTATTTAACGCAATTAAAATTTTCAGTGTAGTTCAAATTTCTGCTTGTTTCTACCGGATTAATTTAATTGAACTTTTCTCTCTCTTTCATTATCCATTCTTAACCTTTGTCAACCCATAACGTCTTTACAGCAAAGGAATTTTACGCTGCATGATATTTTAGACCATTCTATTTCACGGGATTACCATCGCTCTCCCACTAGTGACATTAATAATACTCCTTATTGTAATAACGAAACAGGAAAATCCGGAAACACTATGCGGTCCCTTCAAGTATTCCGAAGTACTTATTGCTGCTGCAGTTAGTTCTTCCGAGATTTTGATTGGAATCAAGAATTTTTTCATAACTATAAATTTGACTTAGTTGCCTTGAAACATGATGGTAACTGTTTTAACCTCCTAATAATGTGAAAGCACGGCGAGATTTATTACAATCTTAAAAAAATACTAAAACCCGAAAGACAATAACTCTATCAGTCATTTGATTAAACTTAATGACATTTGAGTCTCTTTGATAAGGGTTATAAAAGGCATAATGAGTTAAACAATAAAGTAGACCCAATAAATAGCTTGGTAAACTCAACAGTCCAACTGTATGCTTATTGGTTATAATCGAATTTGATACCAGAGAAATGATCACAGAGTGAAGCTATTAAAATTAAAATTTCAGTGCTACACACTTGGATCAATGTTGTCAGCCGGAACACTAATTTTGGTCATTTTGTTTTGTCCACCACCAATTGATTTCCTCTCATCTTTGGAAAGGGTATGGAATTGTATTCGTTAATTAACCTTCCAATACCGCCTCAATAGCCCAGTTTTCTTTTTGTGTCATGTTAAGCTTTCAATTTCTAAGTTTTTTTTCTGAAGTTATGAGATTCTGAAGTTTTTGATTGCTGCTCAGTTTGATGTCGGCTCACTTTTAAACTTACAGCTATATATATATATATACATTTAGAGCATAAAAGAACTGGACAACAACGCTCAGACCAGAAGAAGTGTTGATGTTGGATAATGACCAATCATAACAGTAATGATTTATCTCCTGAAAAGCAAAACTTTCAACTTTCCACTTGCTGAACTATAAATCCCTCCCCATTTCGGTATATGATGAATCGATATTGTTTAAAAATCTATTTTTAATATCTCTTCTAATCAAAATCTCAATTCCCATTACCGAAAAGAAATGTGGGCGAAATAACAAGTTTGGAAAATATGCAGTGTTTTTCTAATCATCCTTATTAAATGATTTTTGCTCGTTTTTAAAAAGAAATCAAATAATATTTCCTTTGATTCTATCAAATTGTTTTTCAGGAATGTTACTCAATGCTGTGGCCATATTGTTTGTGTTGACTGTTATCAAAATTTAATTGTTACAATAATTTATTGTTTTGTCACGTGCTTAATTACACATACATCTGAGTTTTATACCTTACTACCTATGGCTATCAAAAGTTTGTTTTATTCAGTTCAAGAAAAAAAAGAAAAAGTGGAGAGAATGGAAATAAATTAGAGTCAATTTTATAACAACGCCACTTTCACTTCCATAATGGCTTATTAGAATGAGGAAAAGAATTCACTAAAATAAAGGATCCTCCCATTCCTACTGGAAATTTTGCTAAAATTATCCAGCAATTACCTATTTCTAGACAGTTTGTTTATTTTTATTAAAATTCCGTTTGCATCATAAACATATTATCAATAAAATTGTTGCTTTTTTGAGTTAAAGTATTTTTTTCAAATCAATGTGATATCATTATAAAACAGCAGGAATAAACACAATTGAAAAATACTGGCCATAAAACCTGTTAGAGACTTAACAATATGAAGACGGAAAAGATAAATGTATTGAGGGCGAAAACAGATGATATTCGGTGATATACGCAAAGAAAAGAATGGAAATAATTCTTGAGAATTTTTATTCAATCTTATGATTCACAATATAGTAGTCTGTATTTGTCGGGACGACTCGATCGCTCCGACATTTTCAACTTCCTGCTCCTTCAATTTACATATTTGGAACGATATGATGACAAATAACAAGAAATAGGTATTGTAAGCTTTTGGAAGATCATTTGATTACTCAAAAAACTCCAATTTCCAGCTCCAGATATCTTGTATTAGTTTATTTATTAAGCCTAAAACCGGGAGTAGTAATATGTTGTCATTACAGACCATTATGATTATGGTCAGCTCTATGGCTAATTCTACTTACAGTGGCCAAAAGTACTTTTTTTTCTCTAAATCAAAGGAGTTGCTTTTCTTAAATTTTGCTCTTTAAATGGGCAAGTGAATGTTATTATCATATAGATATTATCATATATCATTATCATATGTTCATTTACATCAAGTAACATCATTTTACTTAGATACATCATGCTCAATTTAATTTTTGCTTTTTTAACTGAGACGATAATTGGTGCTTTTCTATTATCAACTTTCTTATTTTTCCTTTTATTTTGACGAAAAATTCATTTCATAGCATAAATTTGGGGAGAACTCTTAGTATCATTACGATTTTGATGTTAAACATTGAACAGTAAAGAGTGACGGTAGCAGATTGTATTCATGATAATGGGAATTCATGAAAATTCCATCCACCATTATTCTCAGACTATTTACTTGGAATCTCTTGACTTCAAATGGATATGTGATATGTGGACTGAACAATTCGGAGTATTTGTAATAATAATTCATTTCTGATTCCTGAATCACAGTAGTGATAATCAGCTAGGTCTGAATACGGCTGTAATTTTGTTGCTCACAATCCGTTTCATGAACTGACATATTTCCCGCATAGATATTCCATTCTGTAAGCTGTTAAAATAGTTTATCAGTAATAATATGGTATTCATACAGGTTGCCAATATGTTATTTCTGGAAATAGTCCCAGGCACTGGTTATTCATCAAATGTTGAAGCAGCATATAATGGGAGTAAGGCAAGTATCATTGTTTCCTTTTCCTTCAATAATTTTTTAATAACTAATAGCTGTTAATAAAAAGTGTCATTCAGGGTGTTGAATGGTTTATTGAATGCCATCAGAGATTTCTACAAAACAGCAATCGACTCTAATTTTTTGCAAAATTCTTTATGCATATTTTGTCAAAGTTACGGTAACTGTTATGCTCTATTACTGGTTTTGAAATTAATTAATAAGTCCTTAATTTCAACAACATTTAGCATCTGAAATCTGAATTTAGGAATGGTGGAATGAATTTGAAAGTATCCCCCATGTTCAAGTTTTCTTGGATTTTGCAAAAAAAATAACGAACGAAATTTAATATTTAAGATTTCCAATTCTGATCGAAGTGTTGTGAAGGAGAATTAATGTTCGAATATGGGAAACCACGCTAAAGCTGTTGATTTCACGCCACGTGTCCATGACATTTCTTTACGTACGTGGAATGGATATACGGAGATGTTGCCTATTTGAATTATGTCATATTTTGATTTCGAAAAGGAACTTCTCTACATACCAATCATTCACAGAAGTGCTTCTTCAGTATGCATGTGGTACGTACGGATATCCGGAAAGTTCACTGTATCAGTCTGATGTATCAGTCTGGAAGTATGCATTTTGGAGCGATTTCAGTAGTGCAGACTAAAACAACAAAGCTGATTTGATGTGATTTGGTGTCCAAACCGGCTTCTTCAAAGGGAAAATAGGAACATATTTATCGGTATTTCATTAAATTTCAATCTAATCGATAAAGCTGATTTTTCAAATAGTTTCTGAAATTCCGGAATTAGCTAGCATAGTTTTGGGCAATTCATTATTAGACTATGAAGCGATGAACAGTGTTTTGCCAATTGAATTGTATCACAACGGTTTGTTCGGCAAATAGTTCGTTCCGCTTTCATCGATAACTTTTTTTTCTTGATTCACCTTATCTGAGTAGAATTTATGCTAATTTCTCGGTTATGATTCTATGCATGGATATATTTCAATGAATGGGATTAGTTGATTTCATATGGTATAGATGAGAACAGAATTTATCAAGAATTCTGTCAGCTGATGAAGTATCTTATCGTCGATAGTTAGAGTACTGTTGTAGCAAAAACGGATTCAGATTGTGCACGGCTTATTGCCCAATACGTACATGAAGAACTGTTGTAATAAGGGTACTATGTTCAAACTATCATTTTGCTTATTTCATAATTTGTTTAATGGCTTGAAACTTTATGCGGGAATGACAAGCAGAAGAAGGTGACAATATATTTCCGCAGTGTTGCAAGTACAGTGATAACCTTATCGGCTAATGAAAGAAGTGTAGATCCTTTTCAGGAAAGACATGCACAGTCTTGGTATTTTTGGCATTCAGTGCCAGATATACTAGACCGAATAACCGACTGCCCTGTTGTTTGTCTGTGAAATGTCTCACAGATATTTTTTAAAATGATTTCCTTCCACTTAAATTTTATCAGAAACCGGTATTCAGCTACCCATTTCAGTAATTTCAGTATCAAGTCAGTTGGCTGTTCAGATATTCGATTTACCTGGTTTGACATACATCGTCAGTTTCAATCACTATTCGGATATTTGAGAGTTACCGAAGGAAATTGTCTCCATTATTGGTGAAAAGTTTTCTTCATGCTATAAGACTACTTAAAGCTGGCTTGCAGAAATTTCAATAACTTTTTAGGCTTTACTACTTTTTTCAAATTTCTTAATGGCAAATGAATTAGATTTGTGGAATCACATTCAACACTGACCTGCTCATAATTTGCTTCAACGGTAGCTCGGGGTGCAGTTCTTTGGGTGATTTATTAACTGAAAATGATCCATCTCATCTAAACCCCGATGGAGTTACTCCGTTTGAAAACGTATTCTTATGGAACAAGGTAACAGTTATGACATACTCTCTCTGATATTACAATATTAAGAGTGTAAATTAATGTATGTTTTGAATGTTTGGAATAGATTTCTATCATTGCTTATTGATTGAATTTTCTTGGAAAATACTTCGAAAATTTTAATGAAATGACTGAATTACTAGCTGATACATCGAGTCACCACGAAAAGTTGGGTTTTCATACCAGGATATTTTCCATGACTTTTTGAGACAACTGATGATGCTTGGGAAGCGATTCATGATTTCTTCACGGTGTTTCCCAATTTAAAAACAAATGACTTGTATATCTCCAGTGAATCATTCGCTGTCGTTTATGTCTCAACGCTCACGGCGTATATGGTAAAGAAAATTCTGGTGATATTTTAGCTATCAAAATATCAAATCAATTGACAATAACAATTTATTAGATTTCATCGATTAAAAGAGGTACGAATGGCTAACAACAAAGAAAACAAATGCTAAACATCGGTTGACATACCTTATCTACTTTTATCATTACTATTCATTACTTTATCAAAAATCTAAAAGAAGGCATGGAAGGGTGCATCCCACTTTAACAGAGGTTTGGTATTCAAGATTTAAGCAATGCCTGTTCTGTTCATGATCAGAGTTATGATTAGATATGCGATGAGAACAAATATAGATCATTAGAATACATTTCAACCGACCAGCTGGTCGTCTTGTATTCTCATCATTATGTGCAATTCTTTTTAAGGAACAAAGTGCAGAACTCAATCTTCATTGGTAATGGTTATTTGAGTGGTATTATTGATGTTAATTATTGATTTCGGCTATTTTTATCATTACCAATTATTATTATTAAAAACGTTGAGAGTTACTGTTTGTCTAGTTGGAAGTTACTGTTTAATAGGTTAGACTGGATGGATTGGCAAAGTGAAATAGGCACTTTTTAACAGCTCAAGTATTTGGACTGCGAGACTACTCAGTGTTATATTCTGGAGTGAAGGGATATGTAGTTTAAAGGAATTATAATGAGTAAGTGTGGGTAGAGAGAGGTATTGGTGGGATGAACAGCATAGTCGTGAGATTTGTGGGATGACGAAGATATCTCGTGATGCTTGCAGGAATGGATGCGAGAAGTGACGAATTAGTTGCTGAGCTACAAAAAGCTATATCCAGTAAGAAATCAGGTTATCATCTATCACATTTGATCCTACTTGAGCATTCCCATTATTTGGACTTTTTAAAAGACGGGAGGCGGTCCTTTAGCTTTTAGTTAATCAGTAGAATAAGTAGCCCTTTCTCGATACTTATTCTCACTCCCATTTTGCATATTACTGCTATTTATTGCAGAAGTCGCTCGCCTGAAAGAAAAATTCGACAGCTCCAACAAACACTTGGCCACGTTAACATCGGAGATTGCTGAGGGTTTGTCTGGTCTCCTTTTTAAATTTCAAAATTTTCACTCGATGGCACATATTAATTTTACGGTTGCTAATAATACTTTGAATTACTTGGGACATTCGTGGCACTTCTGATTATCAAATGATTTTAATAAGATTCACACTTAAAGTTGAAAGTGTTTTTCTGGAAATTGATGGGAAACTGTGTCTAGTATACCTACATTGGTAGGTATAGCACATTCATTGATAGTTACAGATGTGTTATTGATTGATATAGTATCACAGCAGTCTTCTCTTTAGGCTTCACTGCTTGCAGGAAGGGCGAAAATAGCTGCTAACAGAATAAGAATTGCCACTTTAGATGCTGAAAGATTCGCTTGCATTCAAATAGAAAAGTTAAATGTTGAATTGATCGACAGGTAAGCATTCTGGTCGACGCTGTTAGCTTAATATTCCTCTTTTTTTGCCGAATTACTGCTCGAACTTCCAAAATCGTCTTCTCAGATCATATGATCACTCATATATTACTTGTACTTTGTTTAAATTGCCGTCTGTTCCATTCTATATTAGTTGTTCCTTTCCATCTTCCAAAATATTGTAAAATGTTAACAATTGTTTAGATTTGATGCGATGTGTAAAGAAATATGCGCAATAAACGAAGAAACGGAGAAGCAGGCTACCGAATTGCAATTGGAAATTGAAGCAGCAAAAGATGTTAAAAGTACTGTTAGCGTTTGTAAAGAAACATTAGGAATGTTGCGTAGTACGGTAAGTCTTTCTTTGCTGTTTTTGCATGCTGATTAATTAATCAGTTTCTTTTACTTTTATCTATAGGTAAAGTGCAAAAAGTCTTTCATCTATAGTTAAGGTACGAAAAATCTTTCATCTATAACTAAGGGACAAAAGTCATTTTAATGATGTAATGCATAGACTAGAAGATATATCACTTCTCTGTGAACGGCAGTTACTGCTAATAAGTTATTTTCGAGTTTTGTAATATTTCAATCAAGAAGTAATTTGCGAGTTGAAATTACTGGTAAAGTTAATTGTTTTAGAGATTTGGTGACAACGACGACATGGATGATACACGTAGGGATATTGAAAGTGCACAAAACGAATGTAAGATGTTCGTTCTACTTAGGGTATTTCTTATGATTCGTTTTGACATTTATTAACCAGGAATTAATTTCATGTTTCAGTGCAGTTGCTGTTAGATGAGGTGCAAGCTTTTGAAGTGGATGAAAAGTCACTAAATGATAAACTGAGTACTGTTGCATATGTTGACATTCCATTGGCGGTTAAACATCAAATATAGTGAGTTTTTTTTTTCAATGTGCAACATTTTATTCCGATCACTTATAATCAGTCATGCTGATATTAATCTTCCCAGGAATAGATTTTATGTTCATCCTGATGATGTTAATGAGATTCGAGCCCATCTAACAGTCACGAAAAATTCTTTATCTTTATCTCTGACTATTTGTTCTCATACTTTCGACTGCTTTCAATACACTTTATTGTCAATGGCAACCTTTAGCAGAATGGGAAAATTTTAAATTGTACATTACGCTAGGGACTCTTCAAAACAGAAAGTCATTTACAGCCACGATTTGAAGAAGCGCAAAGGGGAGTTGGTTCGTAAGCTTATGCATGCACGTCTCAGTCGAAGCCGTCTGGATTCACAATTTGTGATGAGTGATTTGTGAATATATCATGTCAATACGCTATAATGCTGTTAGAATTGGAAGATTAAATGCGATCAACAGAGTACTGAGATGGGTAAACGCTTTTATTGATTGCAAAATAAGTGATGAGCACTTATTGATGATTATATAAGGAGACATATCTAGGGGAATAAAGCTAGGAGTAATTTTGGTGCCAGTTAATTCTTTCCTGAATTTAAAATACGGTTTGGTCTATCCTTTTTCATAGTCGTTTAAGGAACACATTTCAAGAAAAAAGTTGGAGAGGCGATATTCTTTATATAACGCAAAGTAGATCGGTACTTCAAGAATGCTTCGTATCGGACAATAAAATGATCATTTATTCGAGTGATAAAAGAAAAAAGGGAATTATAAAGAAAAAAGGTGACGGTTACCTCGCATTTTTTGTTCAGTAACCGGCCATTGCTTTTTATCTTTGTGTTTATTTGTACAATTTTGTTGATAATATACTTATCTGTACAATCAAACCGTTGAAACATTTAGGCACAACATCACACAACATCATAGCTGCCTTATACAGACATGCATCACACAGACGGTGAGATTAATTCTAACAGGATTTGTAGCCCAGGTGTTTCAGCATCCAGTTTACTTATTAAAATTCAAGTTAAAACTTAGAGGGTGCGATGCGGTGTCACTGACATAGTAGCATACTGAAGTATTATCACTTTGTTCATTAGGTACGGTGCATTAAACCAGCTATGATGGTGAAAATTTCGAAGCGTCAGAGAATGCATGTTGTTCTGCAATTTAAGCGGAAATCTACGCTGTATTTACATGAAAATAGTTCGTTGGAAGGGTATCAACTAAGTTTGAAACAGATTTCATCAGAAAAATTCATGAAGGTATTTTCATCCAATATGTTTCGTGCTATGTTGGAGAACTTTCCTGTTCTGATGATTTCTGCAAATTTCACTTGGTTAACCTCTTTGTCTTTCTCCAGCAATAAACTGAATAAAGAAGAGTCGTAAAAATATCATAACCCTTCTGTTCTGAGAATATTATCAGTCCTCAGATGACGCATTCCTGTACGGATCATCCCTCAACCAATACATGTACCAAAAAAATTCTACGCATGGACGTACCGTGTTACTGTCCCGATTTGTAGTGGTAGAATAAGGCTGGAGAGAATAGAACCAATGTGATCACACTGAATGCTGATGCAAAGTCAACGTATAAATGCATTCGGATGATTTGTTTATCGAAAGTTAAGAGGGCACGAAGGAAGCCAGTGGTGATCGTTACGATTCCTTGAGAGTAACAATTCCCTTGCAAAAAATTGTCATGACATTTCAATACAGATTGAAATCTACCATTCTTAGAATCGGTTGGGCATGTCATGCGACATTTCAAGTACCACTAAAACCAGCACTTTCTTCTGCAAAAGTGTAGCCAAAGAGAGAAAAACCTCGAGTGCGTCAGGGGGGAATCGAACCCCCGTCGATTGCTTGGAAGGCAACCATGCTGACCATTACACCACTGACGCTTCTATAGGGGATAATTCCAAATCGTCATCTTCATATTCTTAAATTTCCTTCCATATTTTTATTCTGATTTAAAGATTCTATAAGTTCATTTGTCACAAATAAACTCAGTTACGCCGCGACGTTTGTTTCCATTGTTAGGTCGCTTGTTTTCGATATCTGACCAATCATAAATTATTGGTTTTATATGCCGAAAGAGCTTATAATTACGTTTTCGAATTAGGACAATTATTAGCCAAGTTCATTAAAATGTCACTTACATTCCAATTATCGTTTAATGAACAACTTATTTCATGATCCAATTACTTTAAGCTGTAAACGGTACGACGTTTAGTGTAACAATCTTTTTTGTAATATGCAAATTTTTTTTTTTTTGAAAACGGTGTCTTGTTCATCGCATTAAAAAAATCGTCAATTTCAGCAAATAGCGGTCAGGAAATAGTACAATATATGCCAAGCATATATTGTATCCTCGAGTAGAAATCAGAATTTTGATCGAATTCATTCGTCCTTGAACCCGATCATTATTAGCAATAAATTTTTATTGAAGCACCATGAAACATTTAAATAATGTGCGTTAATCAAAACTTGTAAAAATTTGAATAAATCAGATTTTGAAATGTGACTTTTTCAGGTGACAAAAAAGGGTACAAATTTAAATTTATTCCTTCGAAATTAATGTTTATGAATATAGGCATTCTGATGGAAAACATAAAGATAACATGTTATTCAAGGATAGATCATTTACAAATGAACAAAAAATGTTGAAAAGAAATGATTTGAAATGATGCGACATAAAAGTGAGAAATGTGAAATTAAATTGATGTCATAGATGTGAAATTATTAGCATAGATTGTATAGACGTGAAATTAAATTACAAATTTTATACATGTTAATATCAAGCGATTTGTTTTTTGTTTCTTTTCTCTCTGATAATATTTCACGTGAATCCACATAAACAATATATGAAAAGTGGAGAGATATTACATACTATTGTTTTTGAGAAATTAAAAGAATAATATGTTTGTTGTGTATCAGACAATGATTATTACTTCTATAGTGAACATAAAATAGTAGAAAAGGAATGAAGATAAAGATCAGTGGCAAGTTTATTCAGCTTTTACGGGTAAAATCACTTCACCAGCTTGAGCTCCAGCTTTAAAAGGTGCTTGAGGATCATCTTCTTCATCCGGTACCTCAGCCCATTGCACCACAAATTTATCTTCCTTAGGTGGTCCTTGCAAGCGCATTATTGTTAATTCAGTTTTGTTACCTTTGGTAACAAATCCATATACCGGCGTGACACGATAATGTTCATTGTTTGTTGATTTTACCTACATTTTTTCTATGAATCATAAATGCAAACTTCTAGTCTCTTTTCATTTGATTATTTTACTGAGAAAGGTGTTTCGAACCTGGATGAAAACTTGAATTGAAAATAGGAAAGTAACAAGTCCATTTACTAGTCTATTAACAAGTCCTGGAATGACTTATAGGTCTTGACATGCCAAAATTTTCTAGGTAATATTACCTCGAAACTTCCTGTATCGCTAATTAATCCAATTCTATCATTTTTATAGATTACAGTGATTTCTTGATCTTTATAAATAAATATTAATGAAATGCTTTAAGTGTACATCAGCAAAATAATAATTTGGAATATGGACTGATAAAAGTTTTACTTTAAAACCTAAACGACTCTCCGTCTGGTTGATAATATTAACAGTTACAGTTCCGCCAGCGGCGGGAAAAGTAACTTCGGATGGGTCGATATTAAGTGCCATGCAATTCGTTCTTTCCTTTTTCGTCCTATAACGAAAATTAAAATGAGCCTCCTAAACAGTTGCAGTTAAACGGTACAATTGAGGAAATTCACAATGATCACTACATTAATGCTACGATTCTTTTATGCAAAATTTGTTTAAAATAATTTATGAGTCATTCCGTGTGTGCAGTATGGTTTGTGATAGCATCATTCCAAGAATTTCAACACTTACAACAATCTCATTTATATTCTTAGATAGAATGTGAAAATTTGACAATCCTTGACAATTTGACAAAATTTAACTCCAAGAAGAAAAGTCTAGAATAATAATGTTCAGTAACTGAGGGAGAAAATATAAAACAATTCCAAGTTCGGGTTTCAAAAAGAAAAACTGCTCTAACTTATTCACTTAAAGTACCTGTAGCAGGATTGGTTCAAAATCTTTCCTCATTTCATCAGTGGAACTAAATTTTAAAATAATCTCACCAATAATCATTTTGAATCGTGCCAGTCTTACTGCAAAAACAATCGAAAGATTGATTTGATGTGACAGTAGGATTGATTATTAGATTGCAGAAAGATGGACAATATCAATTTGTCACTGATATTCCGATCATTTCATTTCAAATTTTCAATAAATATTGTTATCTTTCGGTTGAAAATTAGTAGAAGATAGTGCTGAAGACAACAAGAACAGAATAAAATGTGCAATCAGACTTGTGATTAAATATTTACAAAATATTGTTACGCAACATTAGCCTTTTAAATTTATCCGTCTTCTTTCTCAGTCCTTCCTTCTACTTCAACCAGCATTAGATACTTCTAAGAGATGGTACTGATTCTTTTGGAGAATTAATCTTTAAAGAAAAAAAAATTGGAAAGTGAGTTCTAAATTAATTAAGTAGCTTCCGGAAAAGTATTTGAATTGTATGAACTACATGCATGAATATGCAAAATATCCCACTTGATCTCAGGTAAAATTAAATTGGAAAATCGAAATTGTTATTTATCGTATGCATACTGAAATTGAAAATTTTTTACATTTTGCTTTAAATGACATAATGAAAGCATTCATGGATGACACATTTCAATGAATCATTTATTGTATAATTTTTCATTCTCAATAACAGGTTGGATCAATTGTATCATTGCATATTATAATTATTTCTTCAAGCCAATAAATATTAAATCGTCTTTTCCGCCGATTTAATGGCGCAAATTCAATGCAGTGATTCACATTTTTGTTTTCCTTTGCCAATGTAACATTTGTATTTTTTGCAGGAGACACTGAAAAAGATATATATAATCAACTTTTTTCAATTGTTTGCTATTTTATATCATCAAGCCCTTGATAATAGTTCTCGAATTCACTTTTTTTTTTTGCTTTTATTGAATGATTAATGTGTAATTTCAATGATTTGAAAGTAATACTGTGAAGAATTAAAATTGTTTAAAATATTTTGTTATCAGTAACTGCAAAGTTTATTTTTTTGAAATAAGTATGAATCACTCAATAGTATAATTTCATTCCATTTCTTTCTTAAACTATAATTTTTGTTCAGCACTAACAATTGTTCCATTCTATTATGTCTCATCATTCCAAAATATGCTTCTTTTCGATAAAGGTTAGCTCCGTCACTTTGTATAATCAATGTTAGTCACCTCGTAGTGGACATTACGACATATAATAACCATCTAGATCTATTCGGTATCTTTTTTGGGTAACCCAGTATCACATACACAGAGAAAAAAAATAGCCATTTATTTGGTTACTTAGAAGTGAATTAACGAAGTGTAATGATGGTATTAAATTGAATGAAGTGGATTAACGAAGTGTAATGAAGGTATTAAATTGAATGACTTTCCGGCAATACCGAATAAAGTTATCCGGAATGTATCTTTGGTTGCAATTTTTATACATTGTTTAAAAAACACTTTTTATATTGCAGTTGTGTATGTGCCTTATGTCGGTAGTTAATATTCTCTTGGCTATATTCCTATTGCTATTTTCTATAATGCAGAAAGGTAAAGGTGTGCATGCTCTTGCAGACTATTTCTGTTTCATCCTATTCATTCTTATTGCCATTTTCGCGGCTTTTTCCGTGATAAAGGAGAATCTTATTTGGCCCTTACTTGGAGCAACGGTAATCCCAATATTTTTAACTTAGTAAGAATCTCACCATTCAGAATCCCTTCTAGAATTTACATCTTTTGCTTCTTCTGATCAAAGTTCTTCATTTAATTGCTTTTTCTGTTCGAGTCTTCTCAAATTTCTTACATGCACTCAATATAATAATAAGGGTTTCGCATCCATCATTAGTTGAACGTCGAACATAAATGATATCAATATTATTAATATCAATGGCAATTTCAGCTAGCCATCTTAATCTCGCTATTGATTGCACTTGCATATCACCTACTTTATTGTTACAGCAATCGAGTTGATAGTGAGTCTTGGCTGTTAATTAGATTGAGAACAAGTGATAGGAAAGAACTAGAGCCAACAAATTTAAAGCAGATTATAACAGGCACTTTAAGTGAAAGTATCATAACTGTAAGACACAGTTTTAATAAAAATGTTAAGATTGAAAAAAAGCTGGTTATATTTTTAGATAGAAGAATTCAGCAGATAGAAAAGTGAAAGGAAAGAGGATATATAGGATAGTTGCAGAACATTTGTGGAAATTCTTCATATCATATCCTCCCTTTCTGTCACTTTCATGAAAGATGATGATGATGATGATGATGAATGATGATGAATGATGATGATGATGATGATGATAATGATGATGGTGGATTCATTCATGAACATAATTTTCAGTTTTCGAAGTTGCCGGTTCAGCGATCATTTATTTAGCCATTTTAATCATTGCTGGATTTTGCACTTTTATTGCAATCCGTTGGCGAATATTTGTTACTCTTAGAAGGAAAGTCAAGAAGCAACGGAATGCATCAAAGGAAGCCAAGGCTTCATTGATACAATGTGAATTATGAATCTAAAGAAAATGAATGCCGAAAAGGGATAATGTCATTTCAGTATGACATCATCATCATCATCACCATTATTTATAATCAAAACGTAAACAACCCAAAATGGCCTCATTAATGACATTAATTAAGATTTCAAATAAAATATTGAAATATTTGACTTCTGTTAATGCTTTAATCTATTCCTATGATGCTATTATTGCAAGCATTTATTCAGGATATTTATTCGCAGCTATCAACATTGCTACTTTCTTTTTACAATTGGGGCGATTCATATCTTTACCAAACAAATCATTATTATTAAATGGCAGTGACAACTATAGAAAAAATTTTAATGATCAAGTAATAGAAAACAAAAGGAGAACTTGTCTTGACTTCTGTTCAGTTTAATTATTTAAATCTTTTACATTGTATGTCATTTTTTTGTCTAAGTAAGTAGAAATCGGAAAGTCTTCCATATAAAACCCCAAATTACAAAAATAAAACTGAAGCAGTGAGGTTTTCAACGGATTCACAATTTTCCAATCAACTATTTATTACTCGGGACAATGGCTATTAGCTTCATAAATTAACTCATATGATTGCATTATGTTTAATTTGACAAACGAGCATATCGTAGTGTTAAATCAACAATTTAAGTATTATTCATATGTTACAAAATTTCAGCTATGTTTAAAGTCTCACAGCACCATAACATATAGAAGTATTCAGTTTTTTCTGACGTGAAATATAGTGTGGACGGAAAGCAAACGTAAGATAAAGTACCAGTAATAAAAAGCTTTAATAACATTACGTTACATGCGAGGAGTTTTTGTCCAAGCAGAAATTACTCAACCATTTTCCTTTCTCACCTATGAACTGTCAGTCTTAAATCTAACAGTTAAGACTTGAGCTCTAATATAACTTTAGCTCTTTTACAGAGAGGCTTCAGCAAACTTCTGAACAATTATTTAAAGTAAGAAGTAAATTGATAAACTTGACTCATGAAAGCCTTTTATGAGTATATTTCAAATATTCGTTACGAATATTACTATCTTTAACATTATCGGATGATAAAAGATGCAATGCTTACATTGAAGATTTCAACAAAGTTGAGAATGAAAAAAAAATCAGTACAATACTGCTCAGGTACACATCTTAATTAAAGGACATTCCCTAATGAACAATTCCAATCACTTTTAATCACATCCTTCATGCCTGAATCTACAAGTAAACTAATCCGGTATCATTATTTAAGCTAATATGGATTCATTAGAACTGTTGTCTGATGTATCGAAGAGTGAATCGTGCTACCTTCCCATTTGGATGATAGATAACGAAAATTTGATTGCCCTCCGACACCGAATCTTCCTTTGGTCGATAACAACAACTGCAATCGATAGAAATCGTTGATAATTAGAGAAAGAAACAATTAAGGAAGAAATAAATATTTGTAAAGAAAAAAAGATTAAAGTCAACCTCTTGTCAGTTGCAAATATCACCAGATTATTCAAAATAGTAACCAAAAAAGGACACGTTGAGGTCACGTCTATTTCTCGCTGTGAACAATCATATTCGTACGATCATAGAGACAAATAAATTCGAATGATAGAGAAAAATTGATACCTTCGAAAACCAGTCAACCTAACGTCAAGTTTATGCTTAATTTCTACGTATGACTGGCACCCGTATGAGCATGGAAATTCTCCGTCACTAAGACGAAAACGTATTCGACTTCCAACCGGAACCTGAAATAATTCAATCGATTTTACCAAAGGTGAAACTACCTTCTTTATAGAAGATGAGCACAGGAATAACGAAAAGGATATTGATGAAGCAGAAAGCCGCCTTGCTGTAATTTTACAGAAAGATAAACAAGGAGCGCTATGAGTGATTTAATAAAGATAATAAATAAAGTGAGTAATTAAGCAATATATCGATGCATAAGTGAAACTATCAGTGATACTACTGGTCCAGTGCCTTAATCGATCAAAAATTCATATAGGCTTACCGATATCCTCCAATAGCAATCGATATTTCCACCCTTTGGACTGGTTAATATTTGCCATTTATCTGTTGCGTGTAATTCAGTGCCACATACTGGAAAAGTTTTTTCTCCGAATTGAGTCAGCAATAGTAATCTTCATTAAAACTTTTATTAGTCCTCTTAGTTTCTTTGAATTCCACTGGCCTTAGAATCCTTTCAAGAGCCCTAGACTTTATCATCTCCTACCTCTCTCTTTTCTCTCTTCAGTTTTGCATTTCCATTTTGTTCTATTCTTCCTAAATCTTAGCACTCTGAATCAGTGCACAACACAGGTTTACTTTGATGATTGAAATATCAGTAGAAATTCTCCCAAATTTTAAAATTTTTTGTGCATAGAGTCTTTCCTTCCCGCGTTTCCCCGCACTACAAACATAGTGCTAGATGCTCCTAATCGATATTCGCACTTGTACACATCCATACATATCATCTGCAATCAGCACTAATGGTGAATGATGAATGAAATTTAGATCTGCAAATGGTAAATCCCTCTTTGCTTTCCCAACCTTTCCCTCTCCCTCGTAAAGCATTCGCACAGTATCCTTCGTATTCGAAATGAACCTGTTTTCGAGTAATTCCTTTCGCAGGATATAATTAATCTCAAAACCAGTTCCGATAAAGAGTGAGAGGAGAAGTGAAACACCTGGGATCCATGCTTATTAGCATCAGTAATAATGGTCTATATCATACATAAATTATCTTATTTGAAATCTTCTGCTCAAAAAAAGAACTTTAATTATTCAAGGTTGAAACGAATCTTCCATAATAAATGAAAATATGTGTGACATCAAAGTGCACATGGAATTCATTAAGGCGCACGTGGATTTTGTTCTTGTTTTTGTATATTTTCAAGATTAATATAATACAATACGAATTTTACTGATTATTTGCATAATTAAACATGAAAGTTGGAAGAAATTATTTTTCAGATGCCTCTTACTCGATGGCTGTAGTATACTGCAATCGTAACCACCAAGACCTTCTGGACATCGACACCGATTGCAGTTATTCGGATCTGGATAGCCTCCTGCTAAACAATTTCGCGGGCCTTGACCTGCACAGGCATCTGTAAGCAGAGTATGTTCGAATTCAGTAGGAGTTTGGATGCTTTTTTTGTTAAGTCTTGAGGTTCAATCTTATCTTTGACTGCTTAATCTCAATAAGCGCAGTTGGCATATATAAATGAGAGTCTGTATATGAAGACGGATACTTAGGCAATAGATATCATTGATCACTTTGGCATCCAAAAAAGCCATTTTTTCGGTACCCATCGTCGTTACATATTTCAATTCTTTGGGAACAATAGTAAAATCCGATACACGAATTGCATGCGCTACAGCATGATAATGCATCAGTGACCCGTAATCATAAGGTATACGTCGGGGTGATATCTAAAGATATAAAAGAATTAAAAAAAAAGAAAAAATAAGAAATCTTTTATGCTCTTCTGCGGAAGTTTCATAGTAAAATTGATCCAGAATACTAGCAAATAACTCATTTTGCGCAATTATCTTGTTAGTGCCAAAAATCTTAGATATTAAAATGCTTCATTTCCCGCATTCTTGATCATTGAGAATTGTCAGATCATAGAAGATAATTCTTTATCCCTAATGCTTGTACACCAAACAATTTGTAAGAGTCTTTTTATAACAGAACAAAGTTGCAGACACCAAGATGTGTCCTTAGTGAATCTGTCATTTAATTTATCAGTAGTGCACGCTCTGCCTTTTGTTTTCCCAGGTCCTGCATATGTTTGTTCTTTCATCTTTCCGTCACACACTTGAACTAAATTGATTTTTAGATTTTGAGGTAAAGCTGAATTTTAAAATTAAAATGATAGAAGACATGCAGGAGGAATGAAATTAATTGAAAGAATGAAAGTAGAAGTTAGGCAAAGTAAATTCCGGATTGCATAAATTGGATAGAAGTCGAAATATATTCTACGTATCGTCGTGATATGAAATAAAATGAAAGCAATTCTCCCTGCTCAAGTGGCTTTTATCACAATTCCCTAAATGTTTACTTACCGTAACTAAGATATTTGCGAATTGTTAACATATCTTTTGAAATACTGAAAATTTTCTGTTAATATTTTAAACAATGTTATATTCATTGCAAATGTCTCGTTGACTTGCGACCTTTCGAATTTTCAGTAAATTGTTTGGAAATGTTCTTACTTTTCAATGAACAAATTTTTGATAAATTTTAAAAGTCTCTCACAAATGAAAATACGACACCCTAAGTATATTAGCCAATTTTAAAGTTTACACTAAAGAAAACTTACTTGTCTAATGCCAAATGCTTGAAGCATACTCCGGAATGGCATGAAAGATGCCGTAGCTTCATCCATTACGTTTTTCCAGTTGATTGAGATGTACTGATCCCGATCAGGGCGTTGATGGGTATGCCAAAAGCCCAATGCATGTCCGGTCTCGTGCGCCACAACGTATTCCTTTAGATATTCTAGATATTTCATTGATCGTATGATTGTTTTCCACTAGGGAGTTAACAAGATAGATGGTTCTGTGAGATATGTCACCAATGGAGGACAAACTACGAGGATTTTCTAATTATTATATACATCGTACTGATGGCGGTATTGTTGTATACCAGACTTGGCTAGATAAGAATCATCGAGGAATCTTAAAATTACATTTGAAATCAAGTTTTAAATTTGTTACGTTATTGTATTACTTGCCTTAGAAATATTTCATCAATTTGAAAAAAAAATTTATCACGCCATAGTTATTTTTGTCATAGATAATCAAATATTCAAATTAATATTTACATAATGTGCTCATTGTTAAATTCACATATGGTTTATTCATCAGTTAATCTACTTTTAAAATCAGTTCTTGAAAAAGGAGAGATTGTTGAAGTACGTTTTGAAATTACTATTCGTCATGTTCAACTAAGGAGCGTTATTCAGATTATTTAAATTGATTAACTTTCCTTCCTTTCCGCCATTATTTATTACCCTCGAACAAAAATGAGTGAAATTTCAAACTAGGTTCTAAAACCAGCCTTTTTATGGTACACACACACATACACACACACACACGCACACACACACACACACACACACACACACACACGTACATACACACACATACATATGCACAAATATACATATATGGTGCTGACATGGACGTAGTTTTTACGCATTCATTATTAGTATTTGTGAATTTTTGGAAGATTCTGGGAATAAACTTTCTTTCTTTTCAATTGAATATGAGCAGAGAGGTTGCCATGAAAGTCATTATTGAAGTTATCAAGCAAGCAATGCAAATAATTCTATGAAAAGTTAATCAAAAAATAGTAAAAATGAACTGAGTGAAAATAAAACTGAAAAGGGAAAAAACGACATTTTAATAAGTCAGACAAAGTTCTTACTTCAGCGCATTCACTTCCTATGATAATATCCTGATATCCGCCATTTCGTCCAATAAATTCCGTGAAACAGCTATCACCTCGTTCAAGTACATACCTACAATAAACTACTCTTTTTTTCATTTCAATTATTTTGAATAACATAGTTAGCCATCTGAATTAAATTTAATAGGGTTAAGTCGTATTAAAGTGCAAATTGAGATGTGACAAATTTTACTATTTTAAATAGAAACTGAATTATTCCAAATGATGAGTATCATCTAAATGAACACGAGAGATTGTATCTACAATAATATCAAAATGAAAATAGAAGAAGGAATATACCTGATCACATCTCTTGCTTGTACATTTTCCTGAAACCTTAGACATGTGGCTTCTTCCCACATACGTATTCCACGTCGGATAAGATTTCGAAAAGCATCTGAAATAATTCCCACTTTAATCAGCCGTCATTTATTTTTACTAATTTAGAAAATGTATATCCATTAATAGGTAATCGTTGTACTGCACATGGGAAACTTTCCTTATACTTTTCTTCCTTGTACCGCAATGAATCAAAAGTTTCACATGAACAAATGGCAAAATTCCATTTGATGTGATTAATTATACAAAATGTTTGGAACACAAATACTGTACATGTAAGTAAAACTGCCATTGAAAATTTCAATTTGTTCAGGTCAATTTCATAAATTAGCTAATACCAAGCATCCAACAATAGATCATTATTTTTATTATATGCAACATATTTTTAACCTTTGATAACTTCTGGCAATCATTGATATTTTAACTTTTCGTTTCAGCAAATTGTTTATTTTGCATTTATTATGCCTTTGAATTTTTATTTGAATTTTTATTTTTCATTTGTAAATTATCTATTTCGAAAATTAAACCGAATAGAATACTATGAATACGGCAAGTATCCACAAGTTATAGAATCTCTGCAACAGTCGAATAGTGTGAATGAAATGAAAGGTTAAAGCATTTCAAGAAGAGCGTTGAAAACTTCGTCATTGATGTTATCCCCTTTGATATTATTATCTCATCACTAATACAAATGAAACTTTAATTAGATATATAGGAAAGGCAATCTATGGATATATTAACATTGCAAAATTAAAATCTGTAAGATAATCGAATACCTTACGTTGCATTACAATACGACAAAATATAACTGAAGACATGTGATTCAGATCAGATGAAAGTATTGATAAGACAATTTATGAATATATTTGTTTGAAACTGAATGAACATTTATTGATAAAAATGTAATCCTCAAAATGCATTCAAAACAAATCTTTGAAGTTGATTTAACTTCAATATTTTCAGATGAAATATTTCACTCTGAAGTATCAGAATGCGAAGAAAAACTTCAATTGATTTATTAGATAATTAAACTTTATTCAACTATTATCATTTTTAACTTAGCTAGTGAGTTCAATACTTGTGATCAAACAAGTCAACTTCTAAAGGTAATTAATTGCTTTGACGAGCTGCAAATTCGATATATGGGCAGATTTTAATGAATGTCCAAATTTATTGTCAAATTATTAATTAATTTTTACAAATTAGCAGATATTCTGCAGGAGTATTTCATTTGCAAATGCTGGCAATAAATATTTTTCAAATTCTTTTAGAATGAATAAATTTGCTGTACAAGAAGAATTGGTTTTAAATTTTAGGTAATTAAACTTTCTAGACAATTAAAAATTTTACAAGTAAATTTCCAAAGTTGTTTAAATTATGCTACTATAGCGATCTAATTGTACCTTTGCTGATTTCGCTTAATTTAGTAATACTTTTCTTCTAAATTCCCTCTTATCAAATATGTGGGGGAAGAAACTCCCCCACTCCCTCATGGGTACGTCTCAAATATATCATTTCTATGAAATCTACCTTATCATAGCAAAAGTAAAATAAAATTAAAATGCTTTCAGTTGATCAGGATGATGATAGTAATGATAACGATAATGATGATGATAATAATAATGGCTAGTATCCGTTTTAACTGCAATCATCAATTAAAGCCGGTCACAAAAATGGAACATAGAAACATATAGTAGTAGTCGGGAGAAGAGTAAACAGATATTCTTCTTGTACCTCTCTCATTTAATCATTCAATCAATTTCATGCAGCAGCCTGTTTCACTTGTCCCTTCCAATAATAACTTTCCTAATTCAAACAAGAAAACCGGTTTTCTGACCGGATGAATCAGATGAATTGTAACTAACTGCATAAAATTAGTCAAATATTGGTTGGAAAGTCAAAAAGAATTTGTTACGGTTAGTTTAAAATGTGTCTTCAAAGAAGGAAATAGCAAATGTTACAATGTGTATAACCTCCTGGAACATTCCCTTCCTTTCTTGTTAATCAAAAATGATACAAAAGAATTATCATTCAATTAACATTTTCATTTTTATCATTAAAATATTATCACTTATCATTTTTCGCTAATTTAAGTCACATCTAATATTTAAATTAAAAATTTGACTATTACTAGAAAAGAGTAAAGGTCATCAAAAGAATATCGAGGAAAACACTAAATGTTGTAGCAACACATTTTGACCAGTAAAAGCAATTTTTCTTGTCACCTGATTTATTGCACACATGAGAAGCATAATGATGATTTCGAATAGATAAAAAGTAATGATTAGCCTATATAGGTTTAAAGTCTCATCTCATACCCCAATAATTACGTTTAATCCTTTGAATAAATTTATTGATGATTATTAATTATTAATCCGCGACAAATGTGGCTTTATAAGAAAGTAGTGCGAAAAGTTTGTCTCCCTTGAATTGTTCAAATCAAGTTTTGTGAAAAAAAATGTGAATGCAATTCGCGATAGATAAAAGTGGAAATTTAAGTAAATGATTTTATAATATATTTGAACAAAGAAACGTCCAGAAGGCAATAACTAGTCTCATCAAATATTGCATAGTTTCCTGTTGTTAATTAATAATTCGTTTTGTTTTTTTTTTTTTTTTCCGTTGTGACTAATTTCAGTGATATCAATGAATCTCATAGTCAATGATATCATCGCAATAATTTTTGTTTGCAATCAAATCAAACATTCTCATTAATTTTGTCATTCACATGCATTTGTTGTGATATCAGGTGGGTTGTAAATTGTCAAACAGCCTGCAGAAATGCCAGAATCTCATTTTACCAATTGCATCTCATCGTCTCGTAAACTGCAACCAAATAATTAAATAGCAGACAGCGTTTCATAGCAGGGCGGGAATGACTGCGAGATTTTTCAGATTTTTTAGTTAAGTGTAAATTCTAGTTTATGTAATAACTGATTTAAAGGCCTGTTCAAGTTCATTCAAATTACACTGTTGCAAAACACTATCCTATTGTAAATCAGAAAGTATCATTGCAGTACCTGTCCTTATCAAATCGTAAAACCTACACATACTACTTTGTCTCACAATCCGAACATCTCAATTTGTCACACCGAATGCAAATAAGAGATCTTTGAAATTATGGAAAAAAGATGGAAAGAAGTTTAGTAAAGTATTAAAGTGAATTATGGGATATAGATTCAGAATGTTAAATGATCGGTGCTTTTATTGACAGGGAACGCCTAAAAAATTTGTTAGTCGTACAAAGCTGAGCATAGTCTAGCTTATATTTGTACTATAAATTAATGAAGTGGAAAAATGACATGTGTGAATTTAAATAATGAATTAAATCTTGTTGAAACATTATACGACCAACAAATATTGTTAGTATCGAGCTAACATATCGAATATTATTGCTGGATGTAAAAATAAAGCAAATTGTTGAAGTTTCTAAGATTGAGCGAGCTAACATATCAGGTTTCTGAAACAGAGCGAACTAATATATAAGATAGAACGATAAACATATCAGGTTACTAAGACAAGCCAGGCCAACATATCAGGTTCCTAAGATAGGCTAACATATCAGGCTTCTGAGACAGGTCGAGCTAACATATTAATTTGGTCTTATCTTTTTGCATAATTCAGTTTTTCGATTCACACATATCTGTAGTGAAAATTCAACAGTATAAAAATGTGCTTGATATAATGGCGACAGAAAACTTGTGATAGAAGTGATGCCAAGGTCGAGTCAAATGATGTAGATAGAATCGGATGATAGGGCACTTTTTAGGCAATGTCTTCTAATATCACTTCCACTTCCTTCTTTTCCATGATCTTTTTATGTGAAGTATATCCGAGGTCACGAAAATCAATCACTTGAGAAAAGTCACATTAGTTATTATAATGGTTTAGGAAACTTAAATGTGAAGGAGAAAAAGTTCTAGCAGAATTCAATCCTTTTCATCATTTATTTGCTAATGATCTAATTTTAATTACTATATATATACTATAACAAAAATGACAAAAATCAAGAGATCAATATCAAACTCAGATTAGTACTATTGTTATTGTTGTTACACATTTAAACAAAGAGGCTTGAAAAGGTAAAAAACTTGAAATAACGAAGGACTTGTTTTGTAATTTTTCCATTATCTCCCATCCTTTCCCCCCCAATTTGAAATCTTTTTCCCAGTTGTTCTCGAATCATGTGTATCATATAACTATACTGTGCATTTGCGCCATACAAATAGAAATTTTAAAATCGCTGAAGAATCAAATAATACATGCATTACAATCATCAGAATATTTGACATATACAATAACAATTATTCTTCATCAAATGCATTCCAAACTTTTTTCTAATAAAATTTGAATCTTTCACAAAGCGATCATTTTAACAAACAACAACTATTACTACTAATAACTACAATAACAAATGTTAATTTATTTCTTAAACAAATACATAAGCATTTTTTATTTGTCATGCAAATATATAAACTATTATTTTCATTTCAGTAATAAGTTTGAAGTGCATTCAATAAAAAGCAATTAATTGTTTGAAAGGAAACAAGATATTCATGGATGAATTATGCTAAAATAGTTGAAAAGTATATTGAAAAGCTAAAGCTTAGTTTGGGAATTTAAAAAATAATTGAAAAACTCACAATCTCCACCCCATATAATATAGGGAATTGTTATAGAAGGCCATTCGTATAAAGGCCCAGCAATAATTTGACGTCGGTGTCTAAGCCAGTTGAATTCAGTTTTGGATACCCGTTCGATGATACCAATATGTAATTCCTTACTGGAACTCATTACATCCATACCGGGAAGCATTGGTAATGTACTGTTTATTAGCAATATTGCTTCACATATTTGAATAGATAGCAATAAAATAATAAATGGAGATAATTGCGCCATAATAGTCCTGTGAGATCCAACGAAATAATATAGGAAGATCAGCAATTCTTGGATGTAACTATTCCTTTAGACGTGTGATTACGTCTAAAAATAAATATCACACTGATCCGTGACGTTTTTCGTTTTTTTTTTTTTTTCCTGGATATAATAAAATGCAATAGAGGGAGAACAGAGGGCGCAAATAGCTGTTATTGCTGTTAGTGACAAGCGATAACGAAGGAAGTCAAAAAGAAGTAACGAAACTAAGGAGCTTCTTGCGGGAAACTGGAATAAGACTACCGTGTTGCTCTGCTTGCAGATGTGATGATGATGATTGCCTTGCTTTTCCTTCACGGGGTATTACCACAAGCGCCGCATCTAATTGCTAAAAGTGGCATTTGATAACCTTGGTGATGCTAAACTGATAAAGCTGACAACAAGTAACAACCAAACGAAGAAGAGAAGGGAAAATTTGTTGCTTGTTTGATTATTTCTTCTTTTGGTTACTCTAATACTTCATCGGTGCTGTTTCTACTGCTGCTGAACACAAATTTAAATGTCCTTGTATCTTGGATAGATTTAAAATATATTACTGAAATTCTCGTTTCGGTAGCAAAACCGATTTTCCACAATACCTGTAAGCCAGTTACAGATTAGCTGTACATTGATTACGAAATGAATTGATAATAATGTTGATTAGTTCTTTCTTTCTACGCTTTTTCCAGGTTGAATAAGTTTCGAAAAAACTAAATAGAACAATGTAATACCAAATGTCACTTTCCCTTTAAAATGTAAGCCTTGTCGTTATTATTTTAGAAATCCAAAATATGGGAAGGTTACAGGTCATTGCTAGCATTTCTGCGAATTGAAACTTCTGGAATTTTCTTTTTTAACAACTTCTCGATTCTGCAAATGGAATGCTTCAAAATATCAGTTCTTTCTTGTCCGGTTTTTTAAGTTCTAATCCACGATTAGTTTCAGACAAGTAGCAATCAGCAGCATCTCAGAAAAAGATCATTACACATGCAGTTGCATTAAAAGAGTGACCATTCGGACGACGATGATGACGTCCACAGCAGTGACGACGACGATGACAACGATGCTCCTGATGATAACTCAACTGAACTTAATCGTAGCCTGCGATACTCACACCGATAAATGCCAACCCTATTTGTGGTAGATAAATTTTGTAAATTTTTTCATATAACGTGAGTCATGTCAACTTGTTTATGTCTGCCATTGTATAAGTGAACAGAGATGTAAATATTGTTCTCTCTCTCCCCACTCCACCCATCTCCCTGTAATGCCACACCTCTAATAACTTTTCCCTGGTACAATTATTTCCCAGGCTTATTTTTGCACCATTAAAGATATCTTTGTACCTTGTATTATATCTACTGCATATGTATGATTATCATTATAATTGTGATTAATTTAATTTAACTTATAAGCATAAATCTTTTTGTCATTGTATAAGTGAACAGAGTAGTAAATATTATAATTTCTGTGTGTTTCTGTGTTGTGTGTATATGTATGTATATATATATGTGTGTTATATTTGTGTATGTAAGTGTAGTTTGTGTGTGTCGTGTATGTGTGCGTTTATTAAAATCAACATGTGTCACAGCCTTTAACCTCCATTATATATCGAATAGTATTAAAATTGAGTGTTCACTCAGCAGCTTAACTCTATGAGCTTTTTTCTCACTTGTAATTTTCCTTTCTAAAATTTAGACTTCAGTAACTGTCGACCAATTCGTTGGCCAATTAGCATCTTTATCTCTAATGAAAGGACAGTATACATGTACATTATTCCCGAGATTGCTTACTTCTATCCTTCTCGCTCTTCAATTGTAAAAATTAATTTTCTCATTTAGCGGAACTCTCCTCCCTCCTCCCCTGCAATAATTTCCGGAACGAAATACATTAATTCAAATTAGTAATTGAAAGGTTGGAAAAAAGACCGCCAAAATGATATTAATGAATTTAAATGGGTTTGATTATGTATAATTGAAAGGATTCAACTAATTGAAAAAAGCGAAACTCGATAAGCAATTTGTACTTAGTTGTACATCACAGTTGGATTAGTGGCGAAATTAACTAAGCTTTTAAAGGAAAGAGACAAAAAGTGAAGGATATTTGGTACCACGAAATGTTGTCAAAAATAGGTAAGATTTTTGCTAATTTCAGTCTGGGTAACGTTCACTTTCTCTCATTAATAACCTTCAAAATAGAATACATTTTAAACTGTAACGTTCTCTTTTGGTGACATTATAACACTATTTCTACATTTGACCTTCGACATCCGCCGATACATTTTCTCCCTTTGAAGGATTTTTTTTTCGATGTCTGAAAGGAACAAAAACCACAACACATGTACACATATGCATACATACACACACACACCCATACACACATACATACATACATACATAACACATACATGCATACATACATACATATACACACATACATGCCCTGAAGTAAAATGAATTCATGGAGAAAAACACGTTACAGACAAATAGTAAATTAAATGAGAAAAATGAAGTGAAAAATCATTACATGTTTGATTCTGAAGTTATGCATGGAAGATGTGACATGTCACCTTGAAAGACAATCTATTCGATCAGAGGAGTAACTATCAAAGCATTATAAGAATCAATGTTGCAGTAATCATTTTATTATTTTTCGCATATTTATAAAAGCATAGAAACCTTATTGACCAAGTTCGTCCGTGTGTTCCTTTCTCCTTCAGTCCACTTTGGACCATTTTAAAATATTCAAATGCTTCCTGCAAATATCACTGTTTTATGACAGGTCAGAAGTAGTATTTCAGAATCATCATAGAAATGTCCTCCCAATATTTTCCACTATAACGTTTGAATTGTCCTCCTGACATTTCCATTCGAGATTAAAATCATATTTTTGCTTTTATTTTCAATAATTGTATAGGATACGATCATTTGCTGTCGAATACAGTATATTAAAAATGGGCATCAACTTTGAACGACTGATGGGTGCATTTCGTTTCTTTGGATTCATATCAAATCATGCTCAGTGTGATCATATCCAAGACAAGAATGAAGTTGAGGTTTAGCTAATGCTCGACAAATAGCTTTAGCTTTAGTTTCGCAGTTTCAAATTTCATCTTTGTTTGTATGCAAATACTCCATTCCACCTTTGTAATGCATTCAAAAAAATCATCTTAGTGTTAATTTCAAATGTTTTCATTGATTATCAACGCAATAAAAGTGATAAAAATCCTTCTTACAAATGAAAGGAAAAATAGTGATCGAAATGAATCAATGATTGTTTAAGATAACCAAATTATCCGAGGAAACGTTGCGTCATATAACCATCACTTTAATTGGAAGGAAAGCATTGAGAGAGTTGTCAAATTGAAACTGAACAAGTCTGACGACAAACTGATAATGCATCTTTTTCAGAAATAGCTTACTGAAAGGAGACATAATTGCAATGACAGCGACAGCTATATTTGAAGCATTTTAGTTTCAGTATTTTTAACTTCCAATTTTGCAGTTATTTGCTAATTAACCACTTTTAAATTGATAAATCTATTAATAAAAATTTTGAAGAAACAAATAAATTGAAAAATTATTCGAAACAGGTTTGGTTTGGGCAAGGATGAATTGGGAGTAATGAGAGACTTCGATGTCAAAGCAGGAAATAAGATAGCAGAAGAAAAACACGTTTTTCATGAGATTGCATTTGGATGCAATCCAGGAGAAGTTACGATAAAAAAAATGCTACAGTTGACAAGATATGTGACATCAACAGTTGGGAAGATAATGAGTGCGAGTATGCAAAAAAGAACAATGTTATGCTACTATTACATTATAATTTATATGACAAAACAGCATTTAAAATTTGCCGGATAAATTCAAATTTAAATTTAGATTTAATGCCAGAAGAATTAACATATCTACTTATTTATGTAACATAGCAAGGAAGATATTAAAGTGAACAAGACGAAAAGAAATTGAGAGAAAGAGGAGTAGGCTAGAAGAAAGTGAATTCTATAATTATTCAGTTGAATTTTTGTTTTCGCTGTGAGATATAGACTGAAGAGTTTTTGGAAAGGTAAAAGTAGTAATTATTGAGGAGGAATTCTAAAGGAAGCAAAAGTAAAAAGTACGAAGTAATCGGTGATATTTCCTTCTCCTTCCTAAATTCTAACTAACGAAAGCTAAGGAATAGATCAGATGTTTAATCATCACATCTTAAGAAATGTATTCCAAATTGTATAACTTTGCATATTTCCTTAAACTCAATATGTAAAAGCTGTTATTCAGGAATGATAGAATCTAAGGTAAAATCGGTGAAGCAATAAGATAAAGATATGTACGAAATTATCTAATCACCTAAATCGTGATTATGAAATAGGAATGTAAAAATCCAAACAAATCGAAAAGTTGTCCTTATGAGAAGACTGATAACAAAGTCATATCATTTATTTAAATTCTTTAAAATACTGACAAAATTCATCTACCGCCACAAGAGAGTTCAATGAAGTTACAGTCGTACCCAATTCATTCCTTCTCTCAAAGTAGCCCTAGCGTGAAAGCAAAATGCCTGCTACCTTCGTTGCGTGACAATGGCAAACGCGACATGATATCGAAATACTCGAAGTGACACTGATAAGCTCGAGGTACATTCCTCTCCTATTCCTTTCACTCACAAAGATCGAGAATTCTCAGGCTTCCATCTTTCCACTGATATTTTTTAACAAAGAACAAAAATAAAGCTGCTGCTGTCACAGGCAATCCCGAAATCTTTTCCTGTTATCAATAGCAAACATTTCGGTGGTTAGTCTCGGTCCTCCTGTTTTTCCGATTTTATTTTTGTTGTCTGGTCTGTTAGGCACGGATGGCAGGTTACGGAATATCCTAGATCTATCGCGACGCATTAAAATACTTCGGTTCTTCTGATTTCATTTTTAGAATGACGTAACATTCCCGTGCATATACGATACAAGCAATAAATTCTTTAACAGTCAATCTATCCTTTATTCATTTTTGCATATTACGGATTTCTCTTTTGCAGAATTGTCTGTTGTAGCAATGGACGAAGTGAGCTCAAGACAGAGTATGAAACATGTGGATCGTGGAGGATGGAGGGTATGTACTAACTGTTAGCTCGTTTGCTAATTACAGGTAAATTGTTGAAGGATATTCACATTTATATTCGTATTTATATACTTTTGATCATTTCTTAATCTTATCAAGCCCTATGTAAACATAGAAGCTAAGGAATTCTTCTGAGGAATAAATGGCATAAATCAAGCAATAAATGAAGCTAGTCTTAATTATTGTCCCAGATCCTAAGTGATAAATTAACCATGACGATAAACTGAGGTTTACTTCTCACTATATTCATAACCATCCGTTACTTATTTTCATCACTTCCTCTTTGTCTCACCTTATCGGTACAGAAGCTTAGTGATAGTCATCTCTTTATTCTAACCCATCTCTTGCTGTGTAGCATTTACCCGCATTTAACCGTAATTGTACAACTTGAATATTCTGCCAGTTAGAGTAACAGGATAATTTTAAAACGATTATAACCTCAATAATTTTTTAACTTCGGAAGCAATCCTATTTCCAAAGTTCAAAAAGTTGTGAGATTTTGATTTCAGTGTTCGCCAGTGTAATTGATATCGGGAGGACTATGTCGTTACGAAAGATATGCAAAACTGTGTCACAGGCATTGCCTGCAACAGTTGCTTGGTCATTAATAATCGTTGGCACGGGATGTTTTTTTATCTGCTCGCTCCGGCAATAATTTTACAATTCTCGGCTTGGGGCTATGTTTTATGTGCTCTCGATGCTATTCTATTTCTTTTTGTTATGTCCAACCTATTTATGGCAACCACAATGGATCCTGGAGTTCATCCTCTCGGTCAGTCCTCTTTAAAATATAAGAGTTAGGGGATAGAATAGTTCGAGAATTATTTTACTCCTTACCCATGTCCTATATCATTCAGAAATTGTTTTTTTACTGGATAATGAAAGTCGAATAATCAGAAGTATTAAAAGCCTAGTCAGGAAGTAAATTATACCGAGTGGTTTGACGGTAGGTATTACGAACCTCTTTCAGGAGACCCATGCACAGTCGTACTGGACTTATAGACACATGTGTTTAATTACCATAAGTTTTGATGATGGTTTGTGATTCATCTGAAATAGTTTCAATATTTTCTTTCAAGTATCTCTAGTTGGGTTGCTCGTGAGATGCCAATAATTTCTTATTGAAAAATGATCAATCGCTATAGCAAGCGCTGCGGAAGAAACGCAGTTAGACGATTTTCGTTCACCGCTTTATAAAAACGTGGAAATCAACGGTATCACAGTTCGTATGAAGTGGTGCGTTACATGTAAATTCTACCGGCCGCCAAGAGCATCACATTGCTCCGTATGTAATCGGCAAGTTGGCATTTTTGTGTTTAATGTTTATTCTCGTTTTCAGACTAAGCGTATTTTTATGTTGTAAAGGTCATTCCGTTGAGATGATGCCAGATAATGCATTGCTAAGCTCACTTTTCTTTTTATACTTTTTTCCAACGATAAAGATCAATCATTTGGTTTCCAAAGTTTCCTTCTTAGTTACATTCTTGTTTCAAATTCACATTGCTCCTGAAAAAACAGGACTGAATATTTTTACAATCGGAAAGCTATACCTTTGTATTAAATGAAGTCTTTTTTGTCCGATGTTAAGCTGCTGTTTGATTAACTCAGTAAAACAGAATTTGGCTTTTTTTAAAGGATGTGCATTCCAGTATACTGTTAGAATTGTCTACTATCAAATTCTTTGTTTATTATTTTTCCAAGAAAAAGCAGAAGCAAATGGCACTTAGGAAGTAAAGAATTATAGATACTGATTGCCAACTGCTTTCTTCTCTATAGTATTCGGTTAAGGACGAAATCTGTACCAACGAATGTAGAGTTGCTACAGCTGTGCTGTATTTTCAGATGTATAGATGCTTTTGATCATCATTGTCCTTGGGTACACAACTGCGTTGGTCGACGCAACTATCGTTATTTCTTCTTATTTTTATTTTTTCTTAGTCTGCATATGATTTGTGTTTTCTCATTGGCGCTGAGTTACACAGTTCTGAACAGGTCCGTTCCATGATGTTTCAAAAGGCCTCTCCTATACCATTCTAAGAATAATAAATTAATCTATTCTTGTTAGTGGACTTGGAAATATATTGCATGGATAATGTTATACCTTCGTTCTTTCTAGGTGTTTATTGCAGAGCGGATTTGCTGACAAGGCCGAATATGTGCTCAATTGTTCTGATGGCACTTTGTGTGTTGCTGGCGGTACCTGTCGTTGGCTTGACCGGTTTCCATGTTGTTTTAGTTGTTCGTGGCCGCACAACCAATGAACAGGTTTCAGCATATTTGCTTACACACTTTGCTTCATATTTTACTTCACATTTAATTATTTTCTGTACTCATGGAATATATTTTAGGTAACGGGGAAATTTCGGTCGGGATACAATCCATTTACAGTTGGTTGTTGGGGCAATGTTCGTCGTACTCTATGTGCAAGTCAATATCCTTCGTATGTTTTTTTTTATTTTCATTATTAAAATACAGCTGAAATATCTGAGAGTAACTGATTTTCACACATATGTGCGGTCAGTTGACAAGATTAGGGTTATACGGACAGTATTAACAGAAAATTTGATTATTGCAATCTCTTACCTTTCCATTTCTTATTATCAGGAAGGCCTGAGAATAATGATTTCTAAAATTTCAGCTTCGAGACGGTGTCGACAAAGAAAAGCCGAAAAGGTGAAAAAGGTTTTAGAGATGGAATGCCATCTATGGTATATGTTCCTGACAAAAATTCTTTCTCCAAAGGAGGTGGACGTATTAGAGTGCGTTATCCTTGTTTATTATTTAAAAATTTTCAATATTTACGAATTTAATTTCATTTGATGAGTATCTTCATCTATTTTGTTCATAATATTTGGGATTTTCAGATGCGACAAGTTCCAGATGATGATCAGTCTATTGGCACTGCAGTTTCGATGAGCCATTCATTTCCGGAGAAAGGATCGAAATGTAATTTATTCGATGAGCAGGATAATAAAAGTTTGCGCCGACAAAGTGCTATATATCATGTAAGTCTAACAATCCATCTACTCCGAGATGATCTTAAAGCTTTTTTCTGCTTATCCAATAAAATTTTCTTATAGCACTTTTGTTTGAGTATAGATTTCGCTACTAAAGATCCACATCATTTCAAGTTTCTTGTATATATGAGTACCATCCAACAGCAAGAAATTTTCGATAGTATTTCAGAGTCGGCTGTGACTTAGTAGACGACTGCACTTTAAATATTATTAATTGATTTTTTTAAACGAATTTATAGTGTTACCCAGTCTGATACGTCATCTTGATATGTAAACGTTCATAGCCATTGTATTTCTTTATTAAACGGAAAAATAATTCCAGGCAGCTGTGGAAGAATCGATGCGTTCAGCGCACAATAAGATTACTATGCAGTGCAGCACGAGTGATAGTAGGATGTCCCCAGTGACCATTAATGACAAGGAATCAGTTTCATCACCGGCTGCTTCAAGTGATTTCGGAATGATTCGTTCAGAAAGTATATTTGCTAATGTTAATTCAGATCCCGCCAGTGGTTTTCGGTTTGTCGAGAATGGTGGGCAACTGATTGATAAGTCGAGACCTCTGAAGTTCACTGATGCAGTGCGTATTCATGAAAGTCTCAGTACCCATAATGTAAATTCATAATGTTGGTGTCTCCTTGTTCTCTCATTTCTGTCAAAAACATTAGATTTTGGTAACAATGCGATGCTTCAGGTTTACTTTTAGCTGTTAGTTTTACTTCCGGTTTCTGCATACATATGACAATGTATGTTAGTCAAGGGATTACGGAAGAGAGTGGGAAGCGAATGACTAATCTTTATAATATCTTTTTCATCTTCATAATCAAAAATTTATGTCTTCGTCCTAATTTTTCAATTGCTCAGCTAGTGGTTGTGAGGTTATCCAATTTTCCAATCGTCGTTTCATTGCTTATTTATTTTCGCATCCTTTTTATTCCAAAAATCCGTCCGAAAGTTTTTAATGTTTAACTACCGTTTTGTTGTGATGACTTCACTATGGTTCCCTTCAAAGGCTTTCCTCGTTGCACTCATAATGTGTTCGTACAACACTCTATTTTTGATTCCGTTCTAATATCGCTTATATTAGGTGTTTCTCTTTTAATATCTCTCTTACCAGATGTCTAAGATATACATCCCTGCAAATACTGCTAATTTTTAAAAGTTGATACGGGAAAGGATTGAGAACAAGGAACACAGCACTACACGTGTTAGGATATACAATTATGTTGGAGCATTTCCTGTACATGATTTTTTTTTGCCTTAAATATGTCAGTCACCAATAAGTTTCGCGAACAATTTCGTATTACATAGTTTGGCTAATTTGTACTTTTATCATATTATATAGTTTCAGAGCTCCTTTTTCAGGGTGATACCCATTGTTTTCTCACTTCTAACATCTATATTGGTTTTTTAGCATTGTTTATCTTGTGAGGATCTATCCGTTCCTATAGATTCTCAGTGTTCTGGAATTTATGTGATCTACATTACAATGAAATATGAAATTTAGTACCTGGAATTGTTTTCCTTATTCATCGAAGCTGCTGTGAAATGAAGAGCTTTTTTAAACAGAGATTTTGTCTCATAGGCTGCCTCCTGAAATTTGATCCGTTATGGCGATAAGAATGTTAACTCTTAAACTTTTTTAGTAAATAGAAATTCGTGATTAAATTATACGGAGTCTCTCTGTGTAGCTTTACTCATTCTAGGTAATACAAAGAGAGATATGCTTACCCTGCAATTCATACCACTTAAGTTTTCACAGCTTCTAGCCTGTCATGCGTTTGTCAGTGTTTTATTATTCTTTCTGTCGGCTTAGCTTTTTTTGAATATTTTTGATCGATATGTATTGATTTGTGTGGTGCTTGGATTGGGAAATAGTTGTTTGTTATTCAATCTTGTTCGATATTTACTGAATCCATTTAATCATTTCATAAGTTTTATCATCCATAAAAAACCTGGCACAGCCTTTAAAATTCGAGCAATGGTTGTTTTGGTCATTTGTCATTCGCGTTGCGGCATATGCAGAAATTTCGTCACTTAGATGGGTATTATGAAAACATTGGAAAGGTGGAAGGGAACGATTTTACATTTATATCCAAAGAAATCGTTTATTCGGATATCTTTTAAATGTGAATGTGTGATTTTTACCCTCACTTTTGGTATGTGGCATGGCACTTATGACGCCTTACTTTCTTAAGGTTATTTACGGTTTTTAAGTTGTAGCTTCAAGCTTCTTGAAATCCAGTGAGATTACTGAAAATTTTTCAATTCTAAATGGTTTTTTTTTCTTTCTGTAACTAATAGAGTGATATATGTGAGATATACAAAAATGCTTGACATTTTTGTATATCAGATCAGCGGGTCTATAACTAGCACGATTACTTCTTTTTCGCTTTGTTGCATGTATGATAGGTACTATAAAGCAGTATAAAGACAGTACCTGTGAGTGTTTATTTTTTGAGTGTTTTGTCTTTTGGCTATGTCACTGCTGTTATGTTATACATATGTGCTTTCAGTGAAGTGTATCATAAAATCCTGTTGGCTTATAGCCCTCATCTTGGTCTTCTGTTCCATCACGTAGTGCATAATTACTGATCAAACTGCATTAGCAAGATAAGGTTATATAGTATCCGAAAAGTACCATGACTTGAGTATCATCGGGGCTGCCTTTGTAAGTGATGCTGAGGGTCGCACAGACCTTTTTGAATCATCTTGGGGCAGTTCGAATCCCATTAAATACATTGTTAATTCATCTTATTTTCCGGGAACGTAAGATGAAAACTTATTTGTATTGATGGTCGCTAATATTCTAGAACTGGTAAAACAACACTTCTCTTCATTGTCTGCTTAGAGGCGAAACGTTAGATTCCCCAAATCATGATCAGAAAACTCTGAACATTACTGATGCACCTCTGTAAAAATCATTACATGTGTGCTTAACCTCTTGTATCATTTAAATGCGCAAAGATGCTTTCCTATGGTAGACGGTCACGTAGCACAAAATTCTTTGCATTCATAGTAAATCAGACTTTTTCTACGTTCAGCACAGATAGCTAGACATTTAAGCTTGAAAGGAGGATTCCCAAATCAACATCGTAATATCGTTGTATTTGCTAAAAACGCTTATTTAAAATTTTGTTTTTTTTGTTAGCACTAAAAAATATCACTAAAATCCGGTAACGATTCATGTCAACAGATAAGTCACATATTTGAATATTTGCATAAATTCAGTACTGCTAATGATGCAGACATCATTTTTGCTCTTATCATCATAACATTCATGAAGAGTTTATCAGAACAATATGATAAATTATCTTAATTTCAGATAAATTTTAATCCATTTCTATTTATCATATCTATAACGAACTCCTTTTCTTCATTTAATGTTACAATGGATATTATACATCTTCCATCAAAATTTTTCTACTGTTATACTTTACCGTACATTTCTCTTTGCGCATGTTTCTGTTATACGTTGCTGATCATTTTTTAATTAATCTAAAAGAGTGAAACAGTATGCGTACGGGAAATGTTTTCAGTTGTGAAGAATTTTCCGATCAATTATTGGCATCTTTTTTTTTGTTTCCTTTTTTCACTAATTCTGCAATTGTGCCTCTACTTGCAATTTTGATCATGGAGATGTTTCAATTAGTTGTAGCTTTCCTCGAAGTTAATGATAACGTGAAATTATACTGCATTTTATTTGCTATTTATAATTAATTTATTTCTTGGAACAGTTCCACTGAAATGATGATCCGTTAACTTTCCAATACAAATTAAGAGCTACCATCAAATGAGCGAATAATTCTTACGTAAATTCAAAGGAAGTTATTTTATGGTATCCTTAATAGGAAGAAATCTGCATCATTTCCGATATTCACTTAATCACATCACTTCCTGTATCATATCAGTTGTATTTATGTAAATACCAAGAAAAGAAAAAGTCATTTGAGTACGAAAGTAAAAACGTGACAATCTCTACAAAGAAGTGATATGCTTTCCACAATTTCTAATCACTGATTTACTTCATCAAATACTACGACAACTCTCTGAAATAACACTATTATTGCATACTTAATGCCATTCTACGTAATATTTCTGCAACAGATTCAATTTGTTAATTACCGTTCCCCTTATTCATTTCTCTTGTTAATCATATCATTCAACATTCTTATCATGTAAGTGCAATATGTTGCACTGTCAATCAATATCCTATTGACCTTGAATCTTTCGAACACATTCATCTTTTGCTGTACCGCGCAATCAACACCCGGGATACGATCATGTATCAATTTACCGGAACGAGATGCACAACAATATTTTAATTTGTTCTCTAGTTGAGATATTGTTTGCATAAAATTTCCGATTAACGATACATGATACTAACCTGGCCGGCACATAGTTTGGATTACTAATACCTAAAGGTGATCCCGTCAGATTAGATCGATGCATAACATCTGTTTGGTTCAGCGTATTTCCAAAGCAATCCTCGAATTAAATCTTTCCTGGCGAATCTTTCTCAATAAAACTAAATCGTAATTGTGTTGTATAAATAATTACATACATCCAGGAGTTGTAATTAAGGGTCAAAGGATACTTTTCGCTATACTTTTGAGTCAGTTAAGCTTAATTTTATACATATATATTCTCTCCACTGCTTATCATGAATTTAAAAAATTGAAATAATCCTATAACACCTGATGAAACGCTTTCTAAAGATGAATGATCTCTGAAGCAGCATATAAGGACAAAAGTATGAAAAATCTTGAAACTTGAAACTATCTCATCTTCTATATTTTAGAATACTAAACATTACACTGTATAACAATTTAAAAACTAATTGTTTATCTTCACCTGTACTGTTATGATCAAGTAACAATTGAACGATCGATTTTTGCAAAAGGATGGATAATTTTTGGAAGTGATGAAAAATGAAGGAAAAAGACCTCTTTTGGAATGTTAGCTCTAAATAGGGGTCATATTTAATATCATTTGCTCTTATCTACTGCTGGGATATGAATTTTAGACGAGAATTCATGTTTGGCTTAATAATTGTACTTGTAAGATCAAAAATACAATGTTATTATATATGCAGCAGATAGTGAAAATGTTGAAGAAAACAAAATCAACAAAGACAGAGGCCCAACCCAATGTTGTCCAAGTAATTAGCCTGAATTTTTCAATAAAATTGACTTGGCTATTAACCCTAAACCTCAGCATTTTCGTACTAATTGCTAAAGTGACATATCATTTAATTCAATGATATGAATGATAATTTGAAAACAAAACATGAAAATAATCTTGATTGCATATCGTGCAAAGATTAAAACTTTCTAACTTTGAATGCAATTAACGAAATTCAGTGAATTTTAATTTGTACTAAATTTTAATTTGTACCGTTGTATTAATTTGATAACTCAAAAAAATAACTATTTGGAATTGTTGGGAGCATGATAACTCAATTATCTTTCTCAAACTCAAATACTAATGACAAGTGATATGAATGATGTTTCAATTGGGTAGAGAGGGAAGTTAAAAACAAACCCATCATTCAATGTTATTTTAGACATGATAAAAAGCAGGTAATGGAGGATGTTTAGGAAACTGATTTAAAATTGAAGATTACTTGCAATTTCCAAAAGATTGAAGATTAAATGTAATTTCCAAAATTGCATTTCTTTGGAGGATGGGTTGATATTTTTTGTTATCAAAGTTTTATGTGCGAAAATTTATTGTTTATTACACAATAATTACTGTAATACCCGGATGTTATCAGCTTGGCAAAAAATAATGTAAGACTAAATTTCACATTTCACTACGCCACTCACCATATTATCATGATTGTGAGAAGACTTCCCCTTTACAACGATTGAAGAAAGCGATGTTATAAAGACTTCAATATCTGCTGTAGCACTTATTAGTGAACAGATACGCTTGTGTACATTCCTATTTTGCAATGGTTATTATCAATGATAAGTACATACTCTGTTGTAAAACGTTATCATCTCACTCATAAGTCCTTAAAAATGAATCTTATCATATAGGATCGAAATAATTTTATCATTTCATGCTTTCTAACAATCTATTTATATCATTGCTGATTTCTATTTTAAAAATTCTTTGAAGCTTATTAATCAGTTCACTAATGGTTTCTTCTCCATTTCATATAATTATACAATCATTAAATCTTTCGTACGTACTCATTTTGTAATGTATCACTAGAATTCTAAAGCTAAAGAATATATGAACAAGTGAAGAATATAAGTTACATGAGCATGTGTGCTTCTGTTTTACAATGCTTATTAGCAATGATAAGTGCAAAGATCATGCAGAAGGTTTATCACACTGATGAGTCGTAAAAAATGAATCTTATCAAAAAGGGCCAAGATAATTTTATTGGTAAAGTTATCTTGGTCCTTTTTGATAAGATTCAGATTCTTCTCAACAATCTATTTAAATCATTTGCTGACTTCCATTTTCTGAAGTTGATCACCGATGATTAGACTTTACTTTCCTTCCAATCCTCCTTCCATATCATCCACTAAGCAGTATACATGCTCATTTCTTAGCATATTACGAAGATTCTGAAAGCTCTCCCTTCGTAGGTATAATATTTAAAAAGGCGATGACATGGAGTGACAAAGAAATATTGCCGAAGAACTTATAGGCAAGTGATCATATGTATGTGTGTACTTCTGTTTTACAACGCTTATTTGCAATGTAAAAAATTATCACACTGATAGATCTTGCAAATTGAATTTTATCAAAAAAAAACCAAAATGATTTTTTTTTTAAATCTCCAGTTACTGAAACAGATGGGTGTCATCAGCTTACCAAAAGCTGGTCATTCTACACTTCACTAAGCCAAAATTTGGAAGATTTCCTATTTATGCAATGATTTAAAGAATTGTGTGTAGCTTACAAAACTGCATTACTTCGTACAAAGGATTGCTATTTCTTGTTAGTGATGAAAAACAAAGTCTCGTGATATTTCCCTTTTATCATATTATTGCATTGTGAAAGTTTGTCTTTTACTACACAATAATAACACGAATGTTATCAATTTAGTAAAAAGAAAAGGAGTAATATAAGGTTATTGCATACTTCACTGAGACACCTATATTATCATCATTCTAACAATTCCTCTTTTTCAATGATTGCAGAATTTAAATTGTTATGAAGATTGAAGAAGTGATAAATGATCATATGTATATCATGTGTACATCTATCTATGTTGCCATTCTCATTTGTAAATGATAAGTGCAAAGATCATACTGAAAGTTATCACATTGATGATCTTGCAAAATGAGTCTTATCAAAAAAGAACCAAAATAACTTTATCAAAAACAACACTTCCCCCTTCTCCTCACCTTTTCAGTAGTTTGTTGATGATTGGCAATAAAGGAGCATGACACTTTTCGTGAAGGGAGAGGTCATCATCATATTCTTTCATGTACATTCATTTACCTGCTTATTTACATCCCGTTATTTTCCTTTCTTCTTCCTTTTCTTCCTTCCTTCCTTATTTCTTTCCTTTCATATAACTTCATTGACTAATTACATAGTGGCTTGCATAAGTCTTTAAAATGTGTGCCAAAGCCACTGCGGACTTGATATAAGCCTGATTTATGGCTGTGATTATATTTGGCACATTCGTGCTTCCTGAACAGAGTTCTTTTTTACCTAGATCCAAATGATGCTGCATAATACAAAAAGAGAATGCACAAGTTAAAAGGAGTATAAACTCAAAATCATGATTATTTCTAACAAAAAGATTCCTGTCTAGACTCTTTTAATTTCTAGCACATACTATTCGGGATAGGAACGAAATATTCATATCACTACGGTTTCATTGAGTACAAGTATATTTCCTATTTATTCATAGAAATTTAGTGAGGACATTCAAATAGACTATCATCAAGTATGCTTATGTTAAAATTCATTTCATTTGATAATTATCAGCTTCTCAATAGAACGTTTCTTTTTTCTTTTTTTTTTTAAAAATTTACTTTTGTTAAGTTTAACCGGAACATAAGAAAATGCATTTCTTTTTTGAATTTGGTTCCTTCTAGAAATGATTGCGATTGTCAAACCCAGATTGTATATCATTTTGTCCACCTAAAATTATGGCGAAGGTAAAGGAATAAATCATCATCATTACTTCACGACAATAACAATAAAGGGTTATTGATCACGATTAGAATGTATGCATTTGCTAAAAAAGAGAGAGAGAAAAAAAACATCAACTGTTTATTAGTTATCCGAATTGTGCAGCAAGGTGAAATGTCAACACTGGTAGAGTTGTTCCGTAAGGCAGCAAATAAGGTGGAGCTGAAATCAAATATTGTGGTTCATGATGGCGATACTAAGTGGACACTGGCTGAATTGGACGTGATGTCGGAAAATTTGGCAAAACATTTCATTGAAAAGTATGGAGCTAAGAAAGGAGACTGTATCGGCATCTATATGAACAAATGCGCATTCTATGCACTAGCTTATACGGCAACCCTAAAAGCTGGTCAGTTACTAGGTTTATCAGAATATCTGAGTCTCCAAATTAGGAATGTTAGAAGTTTCTTCGCTCATTACTTCATGAATTACTACTTTATAAAGTCAACATATCAATTGATAAATAATAGTAATTGAAGTTATACATCTATACGAAAACTGAAGAAAATGAAATTGAGCTTTTGGAAAACAACAGGTTTATCAAAATATGCTGTTACTAACACAAAAATGAAATTTATTTGATATATTTAAACTTTATTTCCACTTCATTCTGACAGTTGTGATATGGTTGAATGTTAATCATGTCGATGAATTAGAAAAAAATCGAAATTTTGAAATAAACATTGCAAAAAATCTTTGCAAACTCCAATTATCTTTATTAAAATCATACAAAAAAAATTTTTATAATATTTACAGGTTGTGCTTATCTTCCTCTCGACGTATTTTACCCACAATCTCTGCTAATTGACATTATCAATGAAATTAAGCCAGTGGTCATTTGTTCAACACCGGACATTGCTGATCACCTTTCAGGTGAAGTAAATGTTTTCTTCTGTTAATAATTTTATTTAAGTTCTATATCATTTTGCGCCCTATTTTTGATGTTTTATCTCTTATATATACTTTTTTCTATGCTAGTGTTTCTTCCTTTTTTTTTGAGGTTTCAAATTTTAATTTCAGATTTGGCACCGATGTATATATTTAGCTCATCACTTCCTAATCCATCACAGTCCATTAAACTACCTGAAGTTGGTCCTGACGATCGTGCTTATATCGTTTATAGCTCTGGCACAACCGGCAAACCAAAAGGTGTCCCGTTCCTTTCTTTTTTTTTTAAACCAATAATAGGATACTTATAGAACTTATGTAATGAATTTTCGTTGGTTAAATAAAAATTAAAATTTCAAATGACTAAAAAAAAGTTATTGAAATAACAAATTCACATAAATTTTTCAATATCTCAAGAAATAAAGGAAGAGGAAATGAGAATAAAATTTCCGGATCTTCTCAGGTATCGAATGTCCACATCGTGGTGCTGCTTTCTCATATGAATATCGATTTATTAAGTACCCATATGTGGAGAATGAACGAGAAGCTTGTAATGTATTTTTTGTCTGGGAATTGTTCAGACCGATTCTTCAAGGTTTGTTTCATTTGGATTTTACCGTCACTCAATATGCTTCTTCTCTTTGGTATTCATAAAACATCCATAGAATCATAGCAAACTAATGATTTTGAGACATTTAATTAAGAAGTTTTCAACATTTGACTAAAACTGACGTTGTTTTATTCAACGAATTATGCCGAAAATGGATTACTGTAAGCTAAAAAACGATTACATCATGATATTCTCAAGTGCTCATAAGAAAAGAAGTACAATATAAAATTCAGGAGTTGAAATGTATGTGATACCTGATAATATCATTTATGATTTACCGGAATTATGCCGTTTCTTGAGTACTCATAAGATCACAAGAATGATGTTCACTCCATCATTACTGGAAGCCGTTCTGGATACCCATTCTGATGAAACAATCCGATCTACATTCCATACTTTCCGGTACATTCCAACTTATCATTTATGATATCAGCAGATCTTTGAACAGTCTAAATCGTTTAGCAAAAATAATTCCGAAATTTCCAAAAGTTCATATTTACTTTTCCAACATAATATGAGTTTAATATTCAACCTAATAATCTTCTATGAACTAACTAGTCTGATTATTCGTAAAAGTATTGTTCGTATAATTGCATTCTGCGTGGTACGATTGGGTTTCCCTGATATTTGATCAGCTTAAAGATTCTTATCTTTCAGGACAATATTGTTGTGTGGTGAGGTGGTCACATATTCCTTACTGAAGCGAATCCTTGATGTCTTACCCAAAGTGGAGGTAAGTTTTTTTCTATGTTTTTTTTAAAAGTAAATCCGTTTTTCCGGACGGGCGGACGTATGGAAGCTTTACATCCTTTTCTCTTCCAGAATATTCCTAATATAAATTTGACTTGTAATCTTCCTTACTCAAAAACATTTCCCAATATCGCATTTTCATTTGTCTTATCACCCGTTAGAGATTGGAGTAATTTTGTTTAATTGACTAATTAGCAACAATGTTCAGATCTTGAATTTGTACAGTATTTCCGAGTGTCACGATGTGGCTTACTCGAATCTCACAGAGGTTTTTTACACTCAGCCAGCAAGAAAGTATGCTCCCGTTGGAAAAGTGATCCCTGGAGTGAAGGTTGCTGTCATGGATGTTTCCGAGGAACTGAAAGAAGTTCCAATGGGAGTTTCCGGAGAGGTAAATGTCATTTTTTTTGAATGTAAAAATTATTGTTGAGGTTTTTTTTAAAAAAAAATTCAAATGATATTATAAAAATCGTTGATTTCTTTGCTATTTAAATTGCTCATTTCTTTGCTATTTAAAAACGACAATCTTGTTGGACTGCGAGAACAAAAAAAAGATTTCTTTTCACTTCCAGAGGTCACTTCCGGAGGTCATCATAATATTTCATTTGAGAGATTTCTACAAAACATCCTAAATTCTCCTTATATCAAACAATGTGTATTTTAATATTATTGAAATATTTCTGATACATTCACCAGTTCATTTGTTCCAGATTTTTGTGGGTGGACCAGCACTGGCAATTGGATATATTAATCGACCAGAGTTAAATCGCCATCGTTTTATAGCTGTACCAGATGAACTGAGAGATCAGTTAGGTGATCGTTTGTATAGGACAGGTGACTGGGGATATTTACTGCCTAATTCAGTTTTGGAAATTTGTGGACGATGTGATACAATGGTGAAAATTCGTGGTTACAGCATTGAAATTCTAGTTCGTTTTATGCTTCCAATCTTTGCTTCATTATTATTAGTTTAGAATTAATTCCTTAAATTTAATTTTTGCGAATTAAAATTCAAATAGTTTAATTTCACTTTTTAAAAAGGTGGATGTAAAATTCTCAGGCTGTGGAATCAATGATTTTGGAATTGCCGTACGTAAAATCATGCGTGGTGATAAGCGTCGGATCAGAAGGCGAAGATAAACATCTTGCAGCATATGTTGTTTTGAAGGAGAATATTACCAGGAAGCAAATGAGAGCTGATTTAAAAAAGCAATTACCCTTTTACATGGTACCAAGCTATTTCGTCTATCTACCCAGGTATATGAAAATCTATTGAAATACAGTTTGGTTATTGGAATTAAATAGATTACTAGCAAAATATGCGAAAAATATATGCACACAAGGTCAAATGTCAATAGCAAAATTAAGTAGAATGGATAAGTTATTACAATACGTTAAAGGCAGAAAGCAAGAAGTCGCACGCATATTTCGTATTATCTGCAATCTGTAGCTAATATGGCATTTTCAAAATATACATAAAAGAAATTTTACAGCTTGCCAGTAGTGCCAGCATCATCAAAAGTTGACAAAAAGGCATTACCACCAGTGGATCAGCGAAATGATGCGGTGGAAGCAAGTGCCCTTCCAAAAACTGCAACAGAAGAACGACTAGCCAAGTTATGGACTGAAGTGCTATCACGGACTGCTATCGATATTCAAGAAAATTTTTTTGACCTCGGAGGGTAAGTTTTAGAATATACAGTCAAATTCAGAGATGGTTCATTCTTTTATCCAAATAGGCTAGTTATTTACTTCTTCTTTTCAATGATAAGAAATAGAATCAATTAATAAATTTATATATTTTTAAAAAAGATTTCCTTATGATCAGCGTAGAAATATCAATGTACTTCATATTTATGCTATTTACAATTTCTAAAAATATAACACTTCGAAATATGCAAGAAATATTTTACTATTTGTTAATAGCGCCAGCATTTGAAAAAAGGCACTGTATTTTTGAAAAATGGTTAGATTTCTAGTTAACCTTTCTTCTACAAATGATGCCTGTATGATATATAATATACCGTACGCTTTCTCATCTTCTTCACATTTTTGTAATTTTGAATTCCGAACACTTTTTGCCTTTGCAAAAACAACTGTAGGTATTCATTGATCAGAAAGATAATTCACGAGAGATGCAGGAAACTCTTAATTGTTTTTTATCCTTTCCTCTGCCTTATACCAATCAATAATCTGTCATATGCTTTTACTATGAAATTTTTAGAGACAGATAAATCGGAGATAGAAGTAATTG